GGCCATATGTGAAGGTTTTGCATCTTATTTACTTCTTGCATATGAAGCAAATACTCAAAATCTGATTCACAGACACAATTTTCAAAGCTAAAACATATGACAAGGCTGAAACAGTAGTTTTGGTATACTTCTACTCGCCATATGGTTAATTTGAATTACAACTAGACTATTAGATCAATGTGATATCAATTTACTAATAAATCCAAATAACAACTGCTTCCATACAATCTTAGTAAATGATGTATATTTTAGGTAAGTTATGAATTTAAGCCTTATCATAAATTGTCGTGTCACTCAAACATGTATTATCAATAATGAAAACCATTGTTAGGAAGTAGTGTGTACCATATGGCAGAGTCCGTGAAAACTGGAAAGCACAGTCTAGTATACTTTGACTGCTTGTCGGTGATATCACTTGACAACAACTAGATCCTTCAAATTACTGACAACTAAGGATCAGAAAGTTTAATATATAAGCCAACATCCGCCAGAGAATCAGGACACAAACATGTACCAGATGTTGATCCATATGTCAACGTTTTTAACGCACTATTGACTCGGACCAGATAGGAAAAGGTAACATCATTTGTTTAAGGTGATGAATAATGCATAAGGCACAGAAACCTACCTTTGTGGATAAAATTATGAGAATCCAAGAGAAACAACAATGAAGGAGTATGGAGTACCTATATCCGTGTAGTATATCGAGCCAGCAGACACTCAATGTACTAGCCTCACAGCAGATACAAACAGCCTGGCCCCAAAAATCAATACTAATTTTTGTTATCCTCCAAACACAGCAGCTGAAATATCACCCTGTAAAGTTCCTTATGAATTGAATGCTTCTGTTTACGTAGGCTGAAATAATGCTTTAGATTTAGTTGACTTCTGATTCAATGACTTTCTGCTGTTTTATGACAGCTGAAATTTAATCAAGTGTCCAAGTTAACAGGTATCAATATTCCATAGAACTGTATGCAGGCAGCTTGCCTAATTAAACAGTGAAGGCTAGTGTAGGACTGGCATCTTCAATCAATATCTAAATAATCACCCTGAATAGCTGTCACTTATTCAAACATCAGAGGATCAGAGTGGGTCTAACAGTCTTCCAAACATCAGTAGCATTAGAAGTTCAGTCCTGTCTATACTGAATATACTTGTGATGTCCAATATTAAATCAGACATCATGTCCCATTATATCACAACTCTCACTGATCCTAATAAATGACAACCATAATCTAAAGTTAATTTGTATTATATGTACTTCAAATTATAAGATAATCTTGCAATTGCACAAATGTGTCGAGATGCTTACTTCTTAATTTATCTTCATTATGAATTGTCTCCCTTAGATAATGAGACATAAGAACAAAATTATCTCAGACATGAAACTGAGTAAATTATCTTTTTATGTATTGTAGAATGAACACAGATATTGGCATAATGTCATAACTTACTTTGATCGACCTAGATTTACATGACAGTTATTTCCTGCTAAGTCAATTTTTGTGTTACTAGTGAACAAAAGTCAATTCAGCATAATAGTGATCTTGGCCCTGACCTTTGAACCTCTAAATACAAATTTATTCCAGAAATTCTCATTCCACTGTATAAAATTTCTTAAAAATTCAGTTTGTGAGTACCTTGTTTTCAGTTGAGAACGTGACATTACCTAATTGGATGTCAAAGGTTTGAAAGACAAGTGTCATCGATACCAATATTTTTGTGAAAATGTTTGTGAGTTTCTAGGGTCTCTTCCCAATACCAATATTTTTGTGAAAATGTTGGCAACTGACAGACAAACTCACAACACAGGGTTCTGAGAGATGCAAGATGATGAAGATTTTTAGGAAGTTTTAATCATCTTTTTGGGAAATATTCCAGTTTCTGGTCTGTTGTTGTTTACCTTATTCTCATTTAAGAATGTGACATTACATACTTGGATTGACAAAGATTTAAATGGCAGGTGTTGTTAATGAAGCAGAAGATGTATACCTTTCAGGAATATTTAGTATAAATCTCTCTTTTGTACATATTTTGCCATAGTTTCATTGAATTGTGGTTTCACTTTTGTTAACATGTTAGTGTTTTCTTTATCTTTTTTCCACCCTTTTCATTGTTTTCAAAATACATGACCTTCCAAGTTGTTTGTCATGTGGTAACTAATCACTATCATCATCAAAACCTACAAAGGATTTTTCATAAAAAAATCCATCTACTGCATCTTGAGTAAAAGATGTTTGGTGACTTCAGTCCAAGACATTTGCAATGCAGTAACCTACATACCATGTTTTATAGGAGGCAGGATTCAGATATTATAAACCTGATGTCCTTTTGAAATTATTGAATACAATATAAAAAATCATAACCATTTATTTCTCCCTATCTGGTTTTGACATTTATTATGACCATAATAATTTATTTATATTTTCCTCAGTCACCTCCCAAGTTTCAACATTTTAGGCCATTGGTGTCAGTGAAAAGTCCTATATTGTAAGAGGAAATTCTATATGTACTTGTTAAAAGAGATTGCTGTGTCTTTGTTTAATCTTCTATACTGGATCTATTAATTATACCAAAAATAGAGAATGCATTGTTTCAGAAGGATCTTCACTTTATTCCTAATATCATCAAAGAATCTTAAGATTTATCTGTACTATTCTTTTCTTTTCTATATTCTGAATTCTTTGTTGTATTGATAGATAATACTATCATTCATCAAAAGAAATATAAAGATCCCTGGATTAACAAAAACATTTTGTACTGTCAAAATCCAATTGGTGAGCATCAGACTAACAAGAAACTCATTTGGCCTGTGAGCCTATATCCTTCATCTGTTCTGAACCATAGATTGTAGATATAAGACATTATTCTGTGTTCATTTCAAGCTTAGTAGCTATTCTTTACAAATTGTTACTGGTAAAATTACAAAATTCAGTATTACTTTATTATTCAAATGAAGCTATCAGTAGATTCTGATATATTTAACCTCTTGACATTAAAACTGCATGGTCAAGGCTATACATTGGCCAGATTGTGAATGATTTAAAACTATGTTAGCAGAACCAACCACTGTTACATCTTACATTGTGCAATAAGAGATTTTTCGGATTTTAATATTTGAGTTTGAGCACAAAGAGTGAACAAAAACCAATTTGAACTTCCAACTATTTGGTAATGGTGGGCTAACCACTAAACAGTTTTTTTTTAAATACAATACACATTTTTCTTTATAAGCTACTTGACTCTAGTCCAAATTATTATGGCATTCTATCAACTTTTATAATAAGATGTATTAAGACTAATATTTTATAATAAAAATAGTCAATAACACATTAGAATAATTTTGCCTAATTGTAAGCATGCTCGGTTTAAAACATGCTTTACACATGGGGTCAGTGGGGCCTCACTCAGTGAAAATGAATTTAATATTGTAATATAATATAATATTTTATAATAATCTGAGTATTATAATAGACTAATATGACCAGTGCTCCAACACCTTTTATACTTTTAGTTCTCATTTCACTAAATGATTGATTTGTCCACATACATATGATGCATGATAATTATTGACACTTTAATAAGAAAAGTTCTCTCACTACTGTGGCAATCTGAATCCAGCAGATGACCACACAGCTGATCCTGCTGCACACAACAACTATCAAAATAAACATACATTCCTAAAAGTTTGCATACATCATTTCTTTGCTACTCTGAAATAATCATGTGGATTTGATGCATTTTACAAAATACAGTACAAACTAAAATATTGGTCCATATTTTTTCCTATAGAAACTCATGCATGCTGATCCACAATTGCTGGTACTGATAAATGCAAAATATGACTTCCATTTTACAAGATTATCCATTTAGAATATATTCTTTTGTTGTTTTTGTGTATGAAAGGTTTAAATATTATTATATAAAATGAAATCACGACAATGTTGAAAATATTTGATACTTCAGTTCAATTCAATTTTGGTGTTGGTAGAATCCCTCAAAACACTGATGTGAAAATGTGAATGTCCAAAAATGAGAGTTCAAGAACAACATGATCAATCAATAATGTAAATGCCTTAGTAAGAAATGTGTATCGGCCCCAAAAATTAAGATTTCGTCATGATTCCAACGGATATAAATACAACACGACTGCCATGGACATTGGAACCGGAACAGTCTCTATACTTTCATGGGGTGTTTGAGGTGTTCGAGCATAGGTTCCAACTTCCTTCAATATCTACCAGTACACTGGTTTGGTTTCACCAACTGCCAATATTTTAACAACAACTATACGTGATTCAAATATAGCTGAAGTTTACCCAACAATAACTGAAATTGTTGACATGTACTCAGGTTAAAACTGCGAAAACTATGTTAAGTAACTGAGCACTGGTCAGGCGAGTCTAATTTGGTTTTCAGCAGGTCAAGGATAACAACCAATTTGATAACAACCAATTTGTTTGGTATATGATTAATCATACAAATGCAAAAGATAAAATTTATTTGCACATGGGGAATGTACCTCCGGCCTATAAGGTTTATATTATGATAGTTCAGTCATAGATGTTCAACATCTTTAAGTAAAAAAACCTTTACCTTGTCATAAATTAATGCAACTGTTAGTAAAATATTTCAAAAGTTACTATTTAAACTATTTAAACGATTTCAGTCATTTTTAAAAACAAATCCATGTCCTGTTCACAAGTTGAGATGATCAACACAAGATTAAATATACTCTTAAAAGTTATATTTAAATATATCAGTGTTTAGAATAGATACAAAAAGAATTAAATATATTTGACAGGTGTCCTAAAAATACAAGACCATGAATGCTGTAAAGTACAGGAACTGAAGTTATTACAAATTGTCATATGACTTTGCAGACGAATTCGATGACGACATCTTCTCGTGCATTGTTGAAAGCTCTTCTCGACATCGAATATAACTGTACAGTACAAGTTATCATAATCCGATTAGATAATGCTGATATTGCTTACCCGAAAACTTCGATTGACGTCAGCGTTCCTGATGTTTATAACGTGTAGTAGGCCTGTGTGTATATTATTGACATTCATGTACGATATTTCTTCTTCAGCAACGTTAAGACTAATGATGGATCCGAAAACAGAACATATTCCCGGAATCAGACACGCAATCAGCTGTTGGAATTTTCAAGATATTTTTCCTACGTTTGTAATTTCATTTTCGAAACTGCGAAGAGGATACGTTTTAAATAAACGTTAGAGAATTTAAATCAAGAAGTTTAAAAAATCTTCAAAATTTACAAAATGATAATTAAGAAATTATTAAAACTAAGTAGGAAATTGCCTCCGTTTTTAGTTGTCTAACAATTCAAGCGCCAAGAAGATTAGGATTTATTCGAGCTTTGGGCCTGCTTGATTTGAGCTTACCGTGTTGGATCAATGAAATAGGCAACGGGCTCAATCCAATTGTCCATAGCAGGGTGATTTATGCATATGAAATATATTTTATGACACAATTCATTAAATCCCATTTAGTCATTATCTTTCAAGTCGGTCCCAAATAGGGCCACTATGACTGCCATTTTGACACGCACACAATTTAAACTTCTCTTCCATCTCCGCTATTGTTATGGACCTGAACATGTAGACTATTGGGACGTTAAGGAACACCAATGTTACAATATGTTTCGCTCTCGTCTGTCAAAATTCTCTTGACATGGTGGCAGCAAAGGTGATCGTCATTACCCAGTCATAACACTTACATTAAACTTCTTCCCAAGTTCTTCCAATGGAAGTGATCCTGAGATGGTCTTGACTCTCGGGTTGGTCAAAAATCCCATATGATCGTCACGACCATCATCTTGAAAAAAATGAAAAATTAAGCGAAGAAAAGAGTGCTTGTTTTGTTTTTTTAAATGTTAAAATTAAGAATTGTTTTAACTAATTAAAAATTATCCCCACCACTACTGCTGCTAATAACATTGATGGAACCTTATTATTGTTTCGCCAAACAAAATGTGTAGAAGGAACGTGTCATGATTATGTTAAAACATTTTTGTGGGTTAATTAATATATAAAATATGTGTAGAGTATTGTCCGTCGTTTTACGAGGAAACTGGCAAACGTATCATTAGTTATTTAGAATTACTGTAAAATAACGTCTAGTCTGTTTTGAACAGCACTGGTTCCTGAAAATTTGGCCTCCCAAATTTTGGTGTGACCTGGTCGCATTACCTTTGTGAACAATTTTATAAGACGAGAGTAATTTTGGAAATTACAGAGTTGCTTATTTTTATAACCGTGTACAGTTCACGCCCCCTTATCAATGTTGTAGCTAATTTACATTTCTGAAGAAAGAGAGCTGACCATTGCTCTGTGATGTCTTTTTTTCTGTAACTCAGTGATTGTGTTGATAAAACATTAGCAATCCTTGAATGATGAAACCCGGCATATTCTGTTTACTGACAGATTAGACGCTTTAAATGGCATTTTAATTTATCATGGGTGCTTTTCTGTGTCTTCAGTACAGGGGTTTAAGATAATTCACTCGCAAAACACTGAGTATGCATGCATCGTCTTTAATATGTGTCGTTTCAAGTATTCGTCCATAAAGTGATAAACCTTATCACAAAAGTTTAATATTGCATATATGTAATGTAACGTATCATGTCACAAAAAAATCGGACTACTTGTTAAAATGTTAACCAGCATGTATCTTTGTTTATGCGATTAATGAAAATGAAAAAAAGGGTTATTGATATTTATAACATATCGCAACAGCTGGGTCCAGCAGGAGTTGGAAAAAATAGAAAGTGAAACTTCAGTGGACAAGTTGACTTTTAATCAGAAGAAATATTCTAATGTCACACCAACGTTTCGAGTGTAACAAGTCTTCAACTGCTGGACATACTCGTAACGCAGATTTTCAAAAGATGCAGGTTGATAAAATTATGGGGAAGTTTTATGGTTGCCATAGTGATCTCATTTGGAAATATTATATTCTCTTCGTGTGATATGAAGCTGGACGTGAACGTTAGTTTGCTTGTTGGTTCCGTTATTGGATACCTTGTTTTCAGTTGAGAACGTGACATTACCTAATTGGATGTCAAAGGTTTGAAAGACAAGTGTCATCGACGAAGTAAGAAAACGCTTATTTTTGCGGTCTTATTCTCCTTGTACTTTTCTATGAGTGTCCTTGTAATTATTTTTATTCAATTTGAATTTGGCTTATGATCATGTTGGAATTCCCTTGACGTTTCTTGTTACCATGGAGAGGTATTATTTCCTTAATGGAAATCCCATAATTCACTGTCGCTAAACTGGGTTACTCTCCACTTAATTCAAAAGTGAATGCAATCTACATCCCTTCTCTTCCACTTTGGTAGCAACAGTTAATTTCATTAGTAGGGCTAGTTACTCTGAGAGATCAGAATGTGCATCATTTGCTCTCGCCGATTTTTTGGTGCTTGTCATGCTAGTTATCGCTGCCCGTTCAGTACAAATCGAGCTCACCCAGTGTTGTGGGTGATCTTGCGAAGGCACCTATTGCGGTACTCTATGTACTGGACGATTTTATATGGCTAAACGTCTGTAAAATCCCAATTTCATCCATAATGGCATTGTTATTTGCAAGAAATCCGGGCTGTTTATTCAAAGCATGTATTGTCAATAGCAAGTTACTCACCAAAACCACTGGAATTTCGGGTGTGCGAGGCTTAGCTGAAGCCACAAACAAAACAATTTCTTATAATTGGAGACCGATTCTTTTATTCAAGAGGCAAAATCTACTGTTGTTTCCAAGATGTATTCTTCTTAGCGATAACAGTGCTATTCGGGGACTAAAATTGCACAGATTCTTCAGCACAGGAAGTGCACTTAACAATCCGACACATACAACGAAGAGCAAAAACAAGACTTACAAAAACTTATTTGATATAGACACGGATGTTCAAAAAGACGTACTTCTGTTTAGTTGCCATAAAGCAGACGCATTTTACACATTTTTCTCTTGGTTTGGTCTGATATTTCCTTGTCTGGCAATTGGTATAGGAGAAATGGCATGGACTTCCTTTGGTAAGATCCCCAATGAAACTGAAGAGGAAAAACAAGAAGCCTGGTACAACAGATTTTCCTTGAGAAACAAAGTATTGCGATACGCATTTATGGTGTTGATCGCTTTAGTAGGTAAGATGTGTAATTTAGATGAATCCTACAATTAGGGATATATAATCACTAGCTCCTGGTCCTACATACAACTATCCTGTGCTTTGTGCTATCAACCATTAAAGGGCTAAATGGTTAGACACTGTAAGATAGTGCTGAAAGTGCATTACCCAGTAATTCTTTGTATGTCTGATAAGTTGCAAAGATGTTTAAATCTATGTGCTATATTGGTGTCAATTTTCTTTGATGATTAATTTTTTGTTGGAAAACAAAGTCGGTGTTCTACATATCAACATGTACCTTACATTAGGAAATACATGTCCTTACTTCCTGTTCTGATTTGTCCATTGGTCCCGGTATTTTTTAACTAATTGCAATTTTATATTCCATTTCAGCTTTATCAGGAATTGGCCTAGGCTTCATGGTTCCCATGAGAGCAGTTCGGGAGATTCATTTGTTAGCTGGAGGAAAAATGGGTCGGATTGTAACATTTGGACCTTTTGGGAGAAATAGAACCATAGAACGTCCTCTGGCTGAAATTTTACCCTTACACAGCCGTACTGAGCATAAGTCTGCCTTGATGATAAAAATTGAAGGATACAGATTTTTCTTTAATTGTGACACTGCCAAAGGAATTTTCCACGAAGAGCAGTTATATGACTTTACTGTGGGGTCAAAAAACACATTATGAGAAAAACCTTGACCTTTACACAAAATGTTGAACTTTTGGAGCTATTGAAAAAAGTGTTTGCCAATGTAATCTATTATCCTGATATTTTTCTTTATGACATCAGAGATTAAAATTGAAGGAAATGTTAATGTTTGTTTTCCAGAATCTATTTTGTTTTATGCATCTATTCTTTCATTTCTACTCTTTTTATTTTCTTGGTTGATGTCCCTTCTAAATGCTCTCTCTCATAATGGCTGTGGTGGCTGTTAGAATGTTAACTTTTAATGTACACAAGCAATACAATTATTCCAAAGTTATGCTTAAATGATCAGTTCCTTAACATTGCTCCCTTAAAAACATTGGTATGAAAAGTTTGTCAAAAGAGAGGTATGAAATGTTCCTTTTGTGACCTTGACCTTTGGTCATGTCCAATACTTCTCTGCTACTGAAAGGTCCAGTGTACAGATATTTGACCTGTAGTATGATGGCATTAAGGACTGCCAAGTTCAATTGAATGACCTTAACCCACTTGTCTGTACAGTGTTTATGACATAGGAGGGGTTGGATGGAGCATGGACAAATTTTTTTGTATGATGTAGGTCAAAGGTTTAAATAGAGGTCAGCATGACCTACTATTGATACATGACATATGGCTTCACAGACGTACAGACACAACAAAACCCTAACAGTTCCCAGAAGATTTAAGCGGAGGTTGAATTAGATCCATCCTTTGAATTTTATCATATTCAGGGGTCGCATGTTAACATTTGATCAGGAGCATGAATTTAAAATGGTGGTGCCAGTCACATCATACATGGAATTGCTAAGTAGGATGACAATTGAACCAAGCTTGGAGTAAGTTAATATTGATTTAATATGTATTGTCAACCGGTTTCTCCCAGAACTGTGGGCTTCATCAGGTACGGTGTAGGTATCCAAGCGAGGAGTAACCAGAACATTCTGAACCAGTATGAAAGCAACGGCGTTGGCTCCATTTCTTGGGTTGGATACTTGGAAATGAACACAAAGCAATACTAGAGAAATTATAAGCCAATGTATGTTTAACATATTGCTGCCAAGCATTTGGTCTATGAAGTCTGTACATAACCAGCTGTAATATCTTGGTAATGTCATTTGAGGTAAGCAATATTGAATATAAAGGTTATTGGGTAAGTACACTGTAAGTGTTAAGAAAAAGAAAATGCAACATTAATGAAAGTAAGACATAAGTGATACATTTGAAGCCCTTAGGGGTCAGCCAGTGTCAATATATGCAATTAAAACTCGTACTAAAGTTGTAATTCTTACTAAGTTATTTCTTATGAAAATAAAGAACTTTCTCCTCAAAAATATATTTTAACTGTAAAAACTATAGTGAACTTCACCCTCTTCCCAGGGATAAATGCAAGGCCCTGGAGGTTTTGGTGAAGACCCTTCCATCAATGAAGTGCATATTATTCTATCATATCCCAGTGTTGAAAAGAAGATTTATGAAATTTTACCCCTTTTGGCCCCACTAATCCGGCCCTAGGGGTCAGCCAACATCAATATGTGCATGACATCAAGCCATCCTCAATTGCTAATAATTCTAACCAAGATTGAAATATTTCCAATGGAAATAAAAACCAGTTATGCTTGAACATCTACTTTTCCAATATAAACCACAATAAATCTTACCCCCTTCCTAGGAGGAAATGCGAGACCTGAGGTTGTGAAATTCACAATTTTGGTAAAGCACCTAAGACCATTGCATCCATGAAAAAGTATTTGATTCTACCATATCTGGGTGTTGAGAATAAGATTTTTAAAATCTGAGTCAATAAGATCCCTTTTGGCTCAGCCCCTCAAGCCCTTGGGGTGGGGCGGGGCCCATATAATTCACTATCTTGGTTAATCATTAGCTAGGGAAGGTTTTTGCAAAATTCCTTTGAAATTGGTTCAGGGTTTTTTTTTAGAAGGAAGTTGAAAATATTAAAGTTTATAGATGCATGACCTAAAAATGTAAGATATTTCATAGCTACAGAAAAAAAATATCAACTCCAATAAGACAGGAACACCTTTTATTAATTTAGCAGGTAACAGTGAAATAGGATTAAATCCTTGTAACTTTCATATAAGCAGGTACATATATTAGTATGTACATAAACAAATACAAGAAGTTAATGAAATTTAATTTACATTAATGTACAAACTGTAACCATCAACATTACTGTATTAGAATGATATACTGCACGCACACTTATTTTGGTGCTATCAAATTTTAGCACATTCTACTTTTCAGCTAATCAGCTCATTAATGAATTTGCATATATGCAATGATTGCTGTTTGTAAACAACACATAGAAAGTGTTATGATTACATTACGATTGTGATCAGCACAATCATATTTTAGCTGGATACTTTCAGCATGACAAATGCTGAAATAAGATTACCACCAAAATATGTGTTTTACAGTTTACATTACTTCAGAACAAACAATTCACAATTTTGTCATCATGATTAGATATTTCTATTTTGGAAGACATTTTCTCATAGTTACATAAAAGTCCATGGCATCACAATAGAATTAATCCTGATCACACATTATTAATAACTAAAGATTACTGTAAATGTGATTTTTCTTTAGATAGAAGTGTATTTTGCACTTTGACTTTCCTTTTTCTCGATGTAAAATTGTTCTGATGAGGGTTGGTCTAGCGATCTTAAACATGACAACTAATGAAATCTACAAAGTCCGGCAATCCCTGGTGTTGATGTTCTACCCTTTATCTATATCATTTCGTACATCTCATTTTTATCAAGGATTTGGAAAGTGAGGTAAAAGATGCTCACAAAAATTATCAACAAACTTAATTCACAGTCTTTCTGAACTAGCACCAATTCTACCTCTGATTATTACAGTAGCAGGCTGTCCAGCACTTCTTGACAAAAAATTAGGGCTAATTTTAGGGCTAAAATTACAAAGTTTTAGGGCAAATTTAGGGATAAAATTAGGAATGTTGTAACTAGAATAGGGAGTATGAAAGCATTAAACTGACTTAGCTTTGCAAATTTGACAAAATAGAAACTAACATACAATGCCTTAATTGCAGGAAAGGTGTCTTCCAGGGTTTCACTGTTCCAGCTGCTGTTGGCTGTGACCTTAAGAATCACACCTCTGTCACTCAGTCACAACCAATAACAATCTGGGTACATAGATTCACTGGTATACTGCCTTTCATGGTCTACCCTGAATTAGAACTACAGACTACATTAAAACAGTATGAATTTAATAATGAAAACATTTTCAGTAAATTGTAAGAAATATAAAAAAGTAGGAAATGAAGTGAAAAATTAGGGCTTTTTTTAGGAATTCCCTTTGAATTTTTCACTTTTTTAGGAATTTTAGCAAAACTGAAAAAAATTAGGATTTTTTAGGAATTTTAGGGATGCTGGAGAGCCTGCAGAAGAATCAAAGCAGACACACTACAAATTTTCCTTATGTACTGTAATAATTCTGGGAAGGAAAAGTAAAAGAACACATTCGTTAATATATTGCTAATTAACAAAATCAAAAGTTAATAATTACCATCCTTCATAAATGATATTTACATCTTAATTTACATATAACCTAACAACTCAATATTTCTTGCATAATGCAGACATCAGATAAACTAGAAAATGCTATTTCTGATATCAAACATATGTAACAGCCCAAATAGGACCATGTCGTTACAGCAAGTCCAATTTACAAGGAAATTATCCCTTTAAAATGCCTCTTATTAGTAATTGATTCATTTTGAATAAAAAAAATATCAATTTTGTCTTATAAACTTGATATATGGCATATCACATGTATTTGTTAATTATTTCAATAAATAAATTAATAAATAGATAAATAAATAAATATGACAGCAGCAGCTGATGATGAACAGTCTTTTGCGTATGTTACAATGATGTGCTTGAAGAAACCTGAAGGAAGAGAATTGATGGACGGAGGAAGGGAGAGATGACATTGTTGAATTTGCACATCAATTTACACTAAATAGTATCCTACTAATACATCTAGATCTGCTAAAATTGGACCTAGTGGCTTAAACAGGGTTCATCTTTAAAAATCATATTTAAAAAAAAAAATTCAATATCAAGCAGGGTTATAAAAGACTCAAACCATCCAGGTCTTTATTGCAAAGGGTAGGTGTCTAAACATAGCTAATCTGGGCCATTGATACCCAGTATGCTAAATCCATAGCAGCAATGCCCTGTCTGGCACGAATAAGAATGAAACCACCCAGTCCTGGCCTTCAGTCATAACAAGACAGGATTAGAGCATATTATTTCTTGTATAGCAATGCCTGTATAATACCATATGAAACTTTCAAGTGAGTCATTAAAATGGCTGAAAGGGAACTCTGACAGAATTTTCAGCTGCTTCTTCCATAATTTTGTTGTTTTTGAAAAGTTGGCAAGAAATAAGACTTCTCCCTGTGAATGTGGTGGACAGATAGATCAGGTAATCAATACTTTCAGAATGAAATAATTTACTTAATATTTCATTGATTTTCATAAATTGGCTAAAATAATTGTTCTATTTATATCTCAACCTAAGGAAAGATTTTATCGGTGTCAGTTTGATCTTTAAAAGACAAACATATTTTTGTCTTACACCTAACGGTACAGCAGGTTCATCACCATACATAAATAACAGAGTCCTGTCCATCCTAAGCAGAAGCAGCTCGCACGATTAAAACAAAGCCATAAAGGCACTAAGCCCACCATAGTCCTGTCCACCCTGGGCTTGTAGGGACTGCACTGAAGTGGGCGACACCAAGCCTTGCTGACTGACTGAAGACTGGGATATAGCTAGGTGGACCTGGGGCTGTATGTAGGACTGATGGTCACCCTCTTGTAGTAATAGTCGCTGGTCAGATTCAGACATAATCACTCGCTGGTCAGCCTCTGTCAGAAGCGAGCGTTGATCAGTCTCTGTCATAATGACTCGATGATCACCGTCCTGAACTGAAAGTCTATGTGTATGAATAATAGGTGTCGTTTGGTTGATACTGATGTTGTTTCCCTCTGCCACACTGACAATACTAAGTCGATCCTCCATCGTGACGCCATCCTGTTCCAGTGCTGAAGCCAAGGTGACGGGAAGAGACATGGAAGCAATGTTCATTTCATTCGTGGGTAAAAGGCCAGGAATTGCCTGAACGTTTCCTTGAAGGTCATGTATATAAGTAGTTGGGAGTGGCATTGTATATGCATGATCAAATTCTTGTCGTGCAGATGATTTTGCAACAACAGTTACTGTTTCTTTAGTCTTTCTTTTCCTGTACTGAGTTTTAGCGGTAGCATTTTCACCATGATGTTTTTCAAAATGTTCCTTGAGCTTGTCACAGCGATGGCTGGTGTAACTACAGAAATCACATTTAAACTTTGGTTCTTTGGAGTGAATCTTCTCATGTCGATTTAAATGGCTCTTTTCTTTGAAAGCCTTCAGACATATTTTACAAACATTTGTACGTAAATCTTCATGTTTCCTGTAATGACTTTTGAGCTGACTTTTCTTCGGAGTTGTGTATGTACAGTCTGGGAATGTACAAGGGTATACATCACCTAGAACAAAATACCAACATAAGTTTACAAAATATTTATTATTGCTTTATCTCCTATTAACAAACAGAGTCCTTTAAGGACGTGCCAGGTCTAGATGGTGGAGGAAAACTGGAGTTCCAGGACAAAAACCCAACAATCTGCATACAATGCCAGGCAATTACAACTGCCCCATGTAGGCTATGACCCACAATGCAGAGGGCTAGAGATAAAGATGGTCAGACACCTTAACCACTTGACCACTGCGACCAACTAACATACAAATGTACTTAAGCTATACTAGATGTAATTTGTTATAATTTCCTTCACATTAAAGTTAAAATGGAATGGATTTTTTAAATCAATATTAGTCGAAATTTGAGAGATACACAAGTCTGAATTACCAATAATAACAACTCTCAGAGTAAGTCAACATAAAGATTGTCAGGACGCTATGTCCAAATCAAAGATGGGACCTGTATGTATATACTATTCTTTTCATTTAAAGCAAAGAGATCACAGGTCAGCTTGAACCTCTACAAAAATCCAGACTTATCTACTTGTACTGCCATGTTGTACAAGGAGAGCCTTCCATTTTGTGGTGAAAGGTTCCAACGGTACAAAAATGTTGGTGGGAGTGGAATAATAAATTGAAGATTCTGTACTGCTAGTCTCAAAATTTATCAAGAATTTTCTGTCACATGACTGATTAATTTCAATACTGTATTAATAATAATTAAATGAAATGAGTGATATTATCAAGATGAAATGAAAACTAATTTTCAAAGCCTTTTACTTGGTTAAGTGGTTGGACTTTCAATTCAACCTTCTTTATAATAGGAAGAATAATCACCCATAAACCCAAACTGTGAAACTTTGTGACTGTATTTCTGCATTTTGATATAAACATAATACTGGTGATTTTCTTACTTTTTTTTTAATTCAATGAGTATCTCATTTGAGTCATTACATATTAACTCATTTGAGTCAGTGACTGTATATCACTAATTTCCTTAATTCATTTTGCTAAACCAATGAAAGTTTGAAATGTCATCATATATAAAAACCTCTGAACAAGCAAAGGGATATATAAATGTTTTAATTCTAATGCAGTATTGGTTTTACTAAACTTTTCAAGATTTTCAGTTTTATTTTTCACTTTTCCCTGTTTTAGTTTTATGAAACAAAGATAGTTTATAATTTGAGAAAGGAACAGTTTGTTGTTTCTATACATAAAACCATCCTCAAATGAGCTTGCATGAAGAAGCTTGTATGTTACAAGTAGTTACCTGTGTGAATTCGCTTGTGAGAGATGAGATGAGACTGGAACTTGGTTGAAAATCCACATAAGTCACACAGATATGGGCGTTCATCACTGTGCGTCACAAGGTGAGTGTCTCTCGTGTTCCGTGTTCGAAATTTTAAGTGACACACATCACACTCAAACGGACGTTTTTCTATAATAAAGAGATAGATCAAAGGTTATTATAAGTATAATGTAATTGATTGTCTTATTAAGGAAAGAATAACATTGACAACTTGACATTAATAAACTAATCCAATAAAGATTTTAGCTGCACTGCTTTATCTCTTGGAAAATGGATTTGAGAAAACATGAAGGTTATAAATACAATTCATTTCGTAAAAAACAAAAGGTCAACACAAAAATGGACACAAAGGGAGATGACTTTTGCAACAAAATTAAGACAAAATTAGCAAACAAAATTGATATTCTGACATTAACAGGAACGAGAGGAGAAGTTCTAGGTTCATAAAAATCATACCTGAATGAGTTTTCAGGTGAGCAAAGAGGTTATTTCTGGACTTGAGTTTCATGTTGCAGATTTGACATTCATAGGGTCGTTCCTCAGTGTGACTACGTTGATGTGTGATAACCCTTTGCAGCTTATCAGAGGAATAATCACATCCTTCAAGTTTACATTGATATGGTGGTCCGTTATAGTGGTTTCGCATATGTGTCAAGAATTCTCTATTCACACTCGTGTGGAAATCACAGTCTTTGCATTCAAAGTACAAGTTTTTAAAGTGTGCTTTGACTCTATGTTCTTTCATGATTGGTAATGATGTAGATGTGAAACCACAAATACCACATTCTCTTGTCAATTTTTCTTTTGACAAATTTCCAAAATTTGATTTCTTTCGTTTTTGACGTATTTGAGACTTCTTTGAAACACCATTGGATTTCTCTGCTTGCACTTCGTCATCTGAGAAATCCTCTTCGTTTCCATCAGAATCATCCAAATTCTCCATTTCTACATTATTTTCATAATCATCATCTGTTTGATCTAAGTTGTTTTCGTCTGTGTTAATGTCCTCACTGGCTTCGTCTTCATTTTCTTCTTCCAACTCCAGAACAGCTTTCTTTGAACGACTACTTCTAGTCATGACACCAAAAGAGGTACCAGTTGTTTTTGGTGACTTTTGTTTTGGCGTTGACTGCTTGTCTTTAGGAGGAACTGGTAAGATAAGCTTGATTTTCTTTGGCATACCTTTCCTTTTCTGAACTTTCATTGTCCCTGACTGGACATCAATGTAGGTAGGTGGCATTTGCTGTTGAGGCGACTCATCGCTAGGCTCCTGGCAGTCTCCAGTCTCCTCTTGGTCACTTCCCTCAACACTTTCATCTGAATTTACATCAACATTTCGTGTAATGCTCAACCTCCTAGGTGTAGGCATGGCTGCCTCTACATCTGGCCCAGTCACCTCAGTGTTGACGGCTGCATCATGTTTTGTATTTGAGTTCAAAATGGATGACACACTGACTGTCACAGGACAGAAATTTTCCATTTCAGGTGTAACAATTCCAATTTGTACAATATTGTTCAAGATGTGTGAGTATGCCTGTCGCAGAGCAGGAAACAGTTTGACATATGGCCCAAGTGAAATCTGAGAACTATACAAAGTCTGTAACAAAAGATAGAGACTAGATTCATGTGTTGTGAAGAAATTCTCTGTCCTGCTAATTTCCAGCAGAAAGTCACTAGCCACTGTTGACCAGTCTATATGCTTTAACAGCATCACAAGGTAGCGTTCGCGGTCCTGAACATCGAATCCTACCCAGCTGATGATCAAAAACAGTTTCACCTCTGGTTTAATTTGCTCCATGCGGCCTGTGGAAAGGAAGGCATGGATTCGTCCCACTGGAAGTGACAAAAATTCATTTTGTTTTACAGCATCAGACAAATTCATCTGCAGAAATCCAGCAATAAAATCCTCTAAAGATGTAAGACTGTACTTTCGACAGAGAAAATAAGTACTGATAAAATTGCCAAGATGAAGGTTGGATCTGAGATATTCCTCACAGTCTCCCCGCAGTGGATCAATTTGAAAACTCACAGCCAGATGCAATAATTGCAGGAAATTTGTTTCCCTTGGTGCTATACATCCTGAGTAGAGAAAATCAAGCAAGTCTGAAAAGACTTCGTGGTTATCATAATTAACAATCATAAGATCTGGTGATGTGTAACCATCACCAAACAAATGACAGTCAAAGTAAGGGCTCCATGCAGCTAAGACATTTTTGTGAACTCTGAATTGTCTCCCTTTGACATCAATGACAATGTCACAATACTTTCCAGAATCTCTCAAAAGTTTCATTTTCTCTAAAATCTGAGGTTTCTGTCTCACAGGAGGAGCTGCTGAGCTGACAGTGGAGTCCTGTGGTACTGCCTGGAGAGGGGGCAGCTGTACAGACTGTTGAGAAGGAATAGGTAGACTTGTGTGTACTACAAGTGGAGTTTCCTGCTGGCCGGGTGATTGATTTGGTGTTGGAATAGGGGCATGTGTTAGAAGTGGGGCCAGGTTGACGGACTGAGTGGGTGCAGCCATCCTGACCATGGTATTGAGACCTCCCGTGTATAGGGTTAGTCCCTCTGTAGAGAACCTTGGGTCCTGAGGGTGATAAGCCATCACATTTGTTGATCAAAAAGCCTGCCTGTGGTAAGTCTTTATCATCCTGAAATTGTTAAACATAATAATCAATAAAACATATAACAAGTTTTTAAATACATATGTGTTTATCATGACCATGGAGTTCAAAATGCTTTTCTTTCCTGCTACTTATATTCATCGTCAGAGGCAAATTTTGCAAAGTTCTCTAATCTGCAAAAATTCATATACTTACTAACCATGACGGCAAAAAGCAGAAATCTACTCATGAGCTGACCATATCACTATCATTCCAGAATGCTACAGACCAAATGAACATCACTGTGATGATTTCATCCAGGACTGTTTTGATTTATCAGTTTGACTAGGGTTGTTGGCTTAAGAAATATGGGAGGACCTTCTGATGTAATTTGCTTTCTGATGAGTCTTTCAAGGCCTGCAAGCCTATTGATATTTGGAAGTCTATCCCAATCCATGCCTAAAAAGTTACAATTGCCAAAGTGCCAAGCAAAACCAATTTGTCCGCATTAATGAATAGTCCTCGAGTCTCTAGCATTGGTTTTGCTGAAAGAGTCAATACCAAATAAGTTTCCTTTTTTTGCCTACCTTTAGTAACTGTAAGCTCTTACTAACAGGTGCAATGTCAATGCTCTGACATCTGTGGTTTAATATTGTGAAAGAGGTCATTTTTCATCTCAATGCCTCTGCTAGGAATCGAACCTGTGACCCCTGGCTTACTAGTCTGACGCTCAACCAATCGAGCTAAAGAGAAGTTCTCTCTAGCCAAGTGGTATATTGCGGCTAGTATTTTACCAGGGTTACATACTCCCCCTCCAGGAAATAAATCGTCCTGGAGTTTCCAGGGGTTACAGCGATGCTGGTGCTATTCCCGGGTCCCCACATTGGGCGCCAATGTGACAATTGCCGTTGTCAACATATTAGATTGGGACTTGGCCAGTGGGCCATGTATCATTTTAGGGCGAATTTATGAGAAAAACCACTCAAAGACTGAAAAGTCACTTAAGATGTGTATGAGGATTAGTAGAACATTTTTGAGTACAATGAAATAAGCAATAAGCAAAGGGGCAATGGGATAAGACATGAGCAATAATCAAACAGCGTGTCAAAAACATGTCTGCACAGCACAACGTATGAGCTCAGTCTGCACTAAGAAAGGCGGACGATTTACAAAGAAAACTCATGGCCACTTGACTTATACACTCTTACGCCCCTTAAAAACTATTACAATAAAGAATACAAGACAACTCGACAACATTATATGACAGTTCGATCCATGCACGCTAACAATGGAACAGGTACCCGGACTGGTTGGCCAAGTGTGACGGCAAAATATAGATTGACTCACCTTGACAGCGGTACACGCACATGTCCCAAGATAAACAATAACACAGGCACTCGATAAAATAACTCAGGACATATCCATACAGATATACACTTGCTAAAACATTCCTAAGTTAGACTACGTGACAATATATTTGTAAACAGGTCAAGGTGGTAGAAGTTTAAGCTTTCAAGTTCAGACCAACATACTGTATATCATACATACAACTGAGCGATGATCAATATTTTTATACTAAATTCAAAAGATGAGTTATTCAAATGGCATGATATAGATTATTACAGCATATTTTTGACAGGTGTGAACATAGGTCAAGGTCATTCTAATATATAGAACTTGATCTTTTCATCTCTGCCTTATACTCTTAATGTAAAATGTCGCCAAAGTAGACCCATACCCTTTCACTTATTGAGGAAAGATTGAAGATAAAATTGAAGGGCCATTTTGAACAGAGATAAAACCGAGAGTATTCAGTAGAGAGCAACAAACATATAGAATGTAAAAAAATCACGAACTTGTTAAGGGTTATCTCCCTTGGTTAACGATGCAAAACAATGCCTTTACTTGAAAGCATAGAAAAGTAATAGTTTTAACTATCAAAAACAAACATGAGACTAGGAAGAACCGTAATAATCTAACTCGAGAGCAGGACATTTAAGATAATATGAAAGCAAGTGGCGATAAAAATGGTGTCGAGGGGACCACACGGCATAGATAGAAGGGGTCGGCTGTGAACCATATGCAGAAAGTAACGATAACCAAATTCATTTTGCATTTAAGTGCCAATTTCTCTATCGTAAATGTTTATTCATATGGTCTTATCAATTGTTCGGTACTCGATAGATAATAATGTGTATGTGTGGGCCGAATCGATGTACTTGACGGGGCACGTCACCGCGTCAAACTTTTGCAAAAATACTTACATTTGAAATTATCCCCAATTGTCACCGGAAGTAGTAGTCTCGCGAAAAAAATGGGGTCGTGTATATGTCGTAATAGAAAAAAATGTAGATGCCCATGGTTGTAATATACTTTTGGATAATGCGTTTGTTTTACCTATTCATAAGTTTACACTGTTAGAAAATATATGCTATTGATTTTTATAATAGTCACGGGACTATGTAGTCTTGCCCAAGTCCGGATCCCAAGAAAGTGTAAAAGAGGAGACACATACTCAATAATGTAATTTACCAAGATCACGAATAGTTTAGATAAACACTAATTATAAAATCAAACCATTCTTTGAATTTGTGCAGAAAGGTGTTCGAAGCTAAGCTATGTAGTGGCTTTCTCTAAAGCTAACACAGGAACAAGTTTAAAAAAAATTCTATCAAAACTTAGTCTTCGAAAGAAGTTTAATACTTCAAGTTGGTAAAATCAGAGACATATATAACACATGTGATATATACGTCTCTGGAAGAATTAAAAAATATGTCATTTTGGAATATTTTTTGTTTTTGTTTTTGTTGCTATGCAGTTTAAATATCGTTAAATAAAATGAAATGTATGTTATTCAGAGGAAGAAAAAAGTAATACATAGAAATGAATTATTTCCTGTTACCGATGTTGTGACATCTATACTGGGAAAAGTAGGACATCAACATAATGAGTTTCTGCTTTTAAACAACTTTCTAAAATCAAAACTTTCAAATAATCTTTAAAAAAAATAAATACAACTGTAACGTTACATCGCGAACAAATATCCCACGAAAGATATAGACATCTACCAATCAGCCGACACATAGCAGGATGCAACGACGGCTTTTTCCAAATCTCCCCCCTGTATACTTTTTCATCTGAAATCAATCGAATACAAAGAAAAGCCAAGGAGTCAGAAATTATAAACATTTTAAAACCAGACTTAAATATTAATGTTTAACCGCATTGTAAAGTTTGCAAAATATAATTATGCCCCTTTTATATTATGACGTCATCAACAGATAACATGTTGTGACGCCACACCATTATGTACAGTTACTATGCACCTGAAGATCTAATACAGTGAAAGCGCTAGTGCAAAATGTAACGTCTTTCTTCTTTTGTCAAAAATAATTTTTATTTATATATCTCACATCAGTTAATTGCTAACCTCCCGTGTTTTATGATATGTCGCACCCGGTCTTTAAGCCATGAAATGCTTTCATTTGGCATTCATGGGAGGTGTGAATGTCAACTGGATAAGGTCAAATTCATTGAGGCGCATCTACGCTAAATGGTTGAATCTGCATTGAATGTTAACATACAGCAAATCGGTATTGACATTGATATATCGCTTTCAATGTTAATCTGAATAAAGTGGGAGAGGTCATCCAAATTCCTTTACATTATTTGCAATATTTGTAAGCCGTTGGCAGTTCATAAGCTGATAAAATTGGCTTTGGTAAAGTTACATCTGTGAAGTGGTATACTTACTTACTTAGCGATACTTAGCGATAGTTTCCGGTACAGGACTTTAGTCCTCTTCACCAGACTCCTTTTCCTCGTCCCATTTAAGGTTTGTTTCGCCACTTCCTATCATTTTTATATCCGCTTTGTAATTGTCATATAATAGTTCTTGATCTTTCCAGTATTTATCCAGTCTGTTTTTAAATGTATTTTTCGATGGCGCTGTCACAATTTCTTCAGGTAGGTTATTCCATATCTTTCCTGCTCGAAGTGTGAAGTAGTTTTTCCGTATTTCTGAACTGCTGTGTTGAGGGTATATTTTCATCGAGTTGCCCCTTTGTCCTTGCCTTTCTGTTACATCCTTCCAAAGTTTAATCACATTGCTTGCCCTTGGGTCATAATGCTCGTGGAGTAACTTATATATTTCTAACATGTCCCCTCGGATCCTTCTGTATGCTAGTGTTGGAAGTTTCAGCTGACGAAGTCTCTCTGCATAGCTTAGACCTTTCATACAAGGGATCTGTTTTGTTGCTCTTCTTTGCACTCCTTCTATTTTTTCAATATATTTTATTTTATAAGGAGACCAAATTGGACTGGCAAAGTCAAGGTGGGTCCGCACCAGACTCTTATAAAGTGGGGTGAATATTTCTGGATCTAGATGTTGGAATGATCTCCTTATTATTGCAAACATGGAATTCGCTTTCTTTATCTTTTCACAGATATGAACTTCAAATGTTAGATTACTGTCAATTGTTACGCCGATATCTTTCTCCTTGTCCACTATATCTAATGTCTTATTATTGATTTGGTATCTTTGCTCTGGTGTCTGAGTTTTCTTTCTTATGTTCATGTGCTTACATTTGTCTGGATGGAATTTTAGAAGCCAAGTATTGCTCCATTCATACATGGCATCCAGGTCCTCTTGGAGTATTCTGTAATCATCTTCTGTCATTATCATTCTGAAAATTTTAGTATCATCCGCAAAGAGGTATATTTCAGAGTTAACAATATCTGGTAAGTCATTAATAAATAAACAAATAGAACTGGCCCAAGTACTGACCCCTGTGGGATGCCTGATGTTATGGTATGTAACATATACATGATATGTGATTTATTCCTGACAAATTGTCAGGAGTTTAATGAAATAAATCTTCTGAATATATCGACAAGTAAAGCACATATGTAAGGATAAGCATATTGTTGATGTTGATAATTTGTTATCACTGTAACACATATATGACTTATTTTTCACTATACCCTGTACATTGTTTTGTTTACAAATCTTCATTTAGGAGGATATAAAGAAAAAATAATAATTCGGGAAACCAGCCTGATATTCAGAATTTAATGGCGAAATACACGACCATGATAGCACTGAACGGTCTTTGATATCAAATCTCTGAAAAACCCATACCACTTTGCATTTGGTTCTTGATGGTGTGCTACCTTATTTTGTTACCACTATGAATTATCTTTTCATTGTTTGAAGATCTGCCACCAGGTGGCGTGCTTGATATTGTATATAAACATGTCATGAGACGAAGATAAGTTAATTTCATAAATCCACACATAGGGATTTCAATAGCAACGATTCCGCTTGGAGTATTAAGGATGAAGGCTCTTATTGTTTTAAGTTGTGTAGTAGCCTGCTGTTATGGTACTGGAATTCCAGGGGGCTATGCGGAAGCTGACATCAAAGACCCCACATTAACAGAAATGGCAAATTTTTTTGTTGATCAGTACAACACTATGTACCAAAGTGGTGCCAATGCCGCACAATACCACGACGTGACACTTATGTCAGCATCACAGCAGGTAAATTACTTAACACATTCATATATGGATTTTTTTTGGTAATTAATTTAATATACTGCACTGTTGGTTGAAAACGAAAGTAAATAAACAATTCGTGGCCAGTGCCAACAGCTGACTAACGTTACAATAGTGCCACTCTAAGGCCTGAAATGAACAAGTCGATTCCAACAAGTCTAACATTAAAACTTCGAAATAGCATTAATTTCTTATTTATTTACTTGCTCCTGCATTTGCTGATTCGTCCATTTGATTTGATAGACATGTACAGCTAGATGTATAAGCTAAGCGTATAAAAGTGTTATATATCATTACAATTCTTAAAAATCAGTTAACTCTGACCGTGATTGTACACCTCAAAAATCTGTCTGGTCTGCTGCCAGAAGAGGTAATCAAAATTTTGGAGCATGTGTTTGACATGTTAACAATTTTGACTTTTTAAGTATTGTACATTACTTAAGGTTCAGATTCTAATATCAGTTTTAAACATTTTGCTGTCAATGGATGGTAGGTAGGATTTTGAAGATGTTGTTGACAGGCCTGACATTTACTTATTCAATCTGGTGTGAGATGAAACTTTCTCTTGATAATTTGATCTTTAAACATAGGGATTATTAAGTCTCTGATTTGTATTTGATCAAGAATTTAGCATTTTGCGTGGCTTCACCATGACAAGGTTCTGACCTAAATTCTACACATAAGGCTATGACTGATAACCTTCGTATGGCAATTTTATTGAAAGTAAGTCTCCCTGGCACATATATTTGTTAAACTTGATAAGACTGAATCATACTGCAATCTAAATCTTTTTAATGTAATAAAGCTTTAAGGTATATACAGTTACCAGAAGGTCGTAAATGAAAAGAGCAGAAGGAGTGTAGATTATACATGAAACCTCAAAGTTTTAAAAGCTTCCAATAAACTTCTAAGAAAACTATGTAGCTTTATATCACATTCATTGCACTTTTATTTCTGTCAGATTATAATTTCATATACCATATTTATCTGCTTATAATCCCCTGCCCAAAAGTAAACCACCTCTTGATTTTTACAGAATTATTGGTTTTAAGATAAGTAAGTTAAAAGTTGTTCACAAGTAAGCCATCTGAAAACTTTGTTAGTTAATTAAATTTTACACCAAGGAAGGGAGCTTATTTGAGGTGAAATACGGTCAATAGAGATCCATATGCATGTGTGAAGTTTAAGATAAAAAAAATCAACCTAGCATTGATGAATCAGATTTCATACTTATTATCTGGTTGCTGTGCTAGTATGATTTCCAGACAATTACACTCAAGCATTCCTGACATTGAACTTTTTGAGAGAGAAATGTCAATGACATATTTTCAAGGTCAAGATCACTACAACATAATTATTTACATGATAGCAAGGGAAAAGGATTGATTATCCACGCATTCTTCACTAGATCTTGGTTTATGTTAATTCATTAGTTGGTAGCATATCTAATTCTAAAGATATCGACAGGTGCTATTCACATGTGTGCCTTCTATATATTCTTTTAAACAACCTTGTAGTCATAAACATGTATCACCGTAAATGCAGATTCTAGGAGATATTCTTTCATATTTGATAGTTTCCAGTAAGGATTTAACTAAAAAAGAACTTGCCATATAAATGAAGTCATTTTAAAAAAATAACATTTCAATTATTTTCCATTTTACTTTTTATTAGTTTTATTTGACACTTTCTGGCTGTGAAATTGATAAAATTTGTCTAGACACCAATTTTTTTTTTCAATACCATCTGTGATATTGATTTTAAGCAGCACCTACTTCTGATTTCTTCTTATAGTTTGGAAGCATATGAAATTTAAGATAAGTAGTTTATATTAAGTTTTCTTTCATTTTCATCAGAATTTAAAACATTTTTGCAAAAAACACAGGAACATAATTTGAAAATCTGTCAGCTCAATTTTTTACATTTTTATTCTGTAATGATATTTTGTAGTTTAGTTAGACATGGTAGCTGTCACTTTAGTGCTTCTTAATGGTAGTTTTTGAAGTTGATCAACTGATGTACAATACAAAACTGAATTGTACTAAACACACCAAATTTTTCCACAATAAAGTCATGGGGGCTAACACATTACCTCTGACTCAAGTTTATGGCATGGGCTTATTACAGGGCAACCAAATTTTACTAAACACCTAAACAGTAATAGCTATGGGTGGTCCAGTGATTTTTGGGATTCAGATATTTGAGTACAGGACTCCTGCTTTCCTTTGCCATGGAACTCACTCAGATATTGAAAATCCACTTATCTCTTAGAATTGGGACTCGTCAGAATTTTGGAATTAGTGTTCTTGACTCCCAGTAAAAATCGTACAAAAATTACTAGTGGTCTTATTATGGGATATTAAATTATTCCCAGATGTATATTTTATCTCGATCTACTCAATGACATCATCTGCTAAAACTTACATAGAAAGTTATTAACATGTGGCAGCATATAAAGAATAAGTTTTAATGTCAAAGCACTGTGGAATTTTACAGGTACAATGTATTATTTAGATAGAGATTAAATGGCTTCATCAACAAAACAAAGAGTGTGCCATGGAAATTTGGGAGAGTAGAGATAAGGTAGATGTCATGAATGAAACATCAATATCTTCCTTCGTTAACTGTTCATTATTAAACTAAAGGATGACTGCTACCAGCAATGTACAAATACAGCATGGTGATAAATTAGAGTTTAGTTATGTCTTTTGGGGAGAAGTCATTGATAAACCAAGGACTGGGGCAAAAAATAGTTCATAGTAAAAGATATACTTGTAAAGAAACTCCGACCAGTGTTCTAAAGAAACAACATTAGGTATCAGCAATCCTTTAGAGTATGATAATTTGTTGTTAGTACATACATAATTACTTTCATATCTTTATACGATACGATGTAGAGTAACTCTGTATCTGATATTAAGAAGATGTCTGGTAATAGACCAATGTGCTTCAAGTGTGAGATATATTACAAATGCTGCTTTAATTCCTTAATATGTAGGTCCAGTTTTAGATTTGACATCTCATATGAATATATTCCATTACTTAAAATTAAAAATCTACTGTAATAACTTTCACATAGTAAAAAAAATGTTAGATAATGCCATCCTATTGTATTGTAAGAAAAATTTGCATGGTACAGTGGCTGACAATATGGCACCTGATCAAAGATGTAAAACAGGTGTTTTTGACTGCTCCAGGGAAATCATCCTATAATGAAAGTGATTAAGAAAAACAAACAACAACTTTTGATCAACTTCACTTTTACCTGAAACCAAAATTCCATGTCACATCACTCATACTGGATCATATATGGGATCAATGAAAAGTCATAGAGCGATTTACTTTCTATGCAACATTTTTCTCTATTCATGGAAAATACCAGGTAGTGCATTATGTTACAATGTCCCAGTACTTGAAAATGGTGAAAGCAGGCTTCTGCATATGAATATCTATAATTGATTTTGTAGAAAAAAAAACCGTTGTGTAAACTAAGTGTTAAATATGTCAAATTATAGATGAGAAAAGATGGATTCGAAATTCCTATCCTGGAATGGGGCTGTCAAATTATGGATCTTCTTGTGATAAACTTGTGGTTAGCTATTAGTATTGATATCCTAAGACAGCAGAGGAGAAAAGAATTTAAATCCACTAAGCAATACATGTACATAGGTGTTTTTTTCTTTCTTTTCAGGTTGTTGCTGGTATGAACTATGACCTGAAATTGCGTATGTCAAATGGAGTAGTAACGGTTTGTATGCCTAGATATGCTTTATTTTGGTAACATTTATGGGAAGAGATTGTTTTTACAGTTCATCATGAAAAAAAAGCAAATTTAATTGACCTCGACTGTTGATGTGATGAGATTTGATGAAAGGAATATATGTTTTGTTTGTAAATACTCACATCAAATGAAGCACCCCAAAAATAAATGATTTCGATGTTATATTGAATAAGAAGGAGGTAATACATTGGTACCTCATTTATATCAACAGTACCTTTAAAATTCTAAGCAAGACCAATCATTAATGATAACACCTATCTCATTTGTAAAGGACACAGTAATATGCATAATTCTTTAACATATCAGTTTTTTTCTTAATGAAGCATCACATTACTTAGTATATTGATAATGGTTTCCAGTCAATTATTGATGCTGACTTTACTTTAAATCAAGTGAATATGATGCTATTATGAAGGCTACCAAAAAGTGTTAAGTAAATATGTTTCTTTCTGTATGCAGCAAATATGTGATGTTGTCATTTTCGATCAATCTTGGACTCATACCAGGCGTGTAACCAGCCAGAGATGTAAACCTATTGCAAAAAAACGAGGTAATATGGGTATTAAGTTGTATTTTGGAAATGTTAAAGAGAAGAAGAATTTTAAAAATTTTTATTTGAGTACATGATTAGATGGCAGAATTCTTACTTCACTGTATTAAGAGTTGTGGCCCTTTGTCACTTTGTCATAACAGGGGCGTATCTCCTACACTGTACCACCAACAGTTACTGTACCAAATTTTGCAGGTACAGACCATATAAGGATGGTGGAAAGTCACATACTAAAACCAATTCATGTGTTTCAGTCTTGTTGCCGTTTATAAGTTTGGCTGTGTTAGGGGACTAAGCGTTGAATATCCCATCTTGTCCTTTTTCAGTTGGAGGTTATGAACCACATGCTGTGGATGCTGAGGTGATGATGATGGCCAACTTTGCTCTAAACAAGATGAACTTGCTACAGAAAGAATCCAACAGCTTGAACAGAGTTGTTGCAGCCAGTACTCAGGTAAACCAGTCTTCAGTATCACTACTTCTGTAAAACTTTTAAAGGGAGGGTGTGGGATATTAAAGGGAGGGTGGGGGAAGGGAGGGTGGGGGATATTAAAGGGAGGGTGGGGCAATATTAAAGGGAGGATGGGGGGATATTTTTGTAGTGTTCATGAGTTTTTTTAAGTAAATTTCATGAGTACTGTTCATTCACAAAAGCAAGTTCAGAAGAAATGTATTCTTTTGAAAAACAATAAAATTAGAGACCCTATAAGATATATGATATCACAGTATTTTGTAAATCTAGATAGAGCATTTAATGCTACATAGGGTTTGACATCTTTTGAAACTAGGATGCTTCCATTGAAAATTTAACACAGATTTTGAAATATGGCATGTGATAACAGTTGGAAAACTGATATCTATTATTTGTATACCTGTTGGTGATGAACTTGGATATATTTTGCTTTTGTCCCAGCATGATAAACGTTAAAGCTGGTAAATTTTGTCTGTTGAAACATACTTAATACCATCAAAATATACAGAGGATCTTTGAGAAAATGTGACAGTTCGTTTTCCAGAAATGATATGCATGAGTGATACATAAACCATAGGATTTTACTATGTTATACGTGTTCTCTATTTCACAGGTGGTTGCTGGAACAAACTACAGACTCACATTGGAGCTGGACAATGGCGTAAGCAAATAACATTCTTACTGTCAACTATGCTATGTGAACCATTGTCTATAAATTTTCATCCTTGATTCCCAAACAGAGCACTAGATGCTAACTGTTATACAATTGTACTATCTTGAGCTGTGTTCACAAAGCTTTAGTAATTTATTGCTGAATGAAGAATTTTTTGTTTAGACATTTTGAGTTAAAAATTCTTCTCTCATTCTAGAAGAAATTTCATTTTTATAAACAATTACTTTTCAAGAAAAGAATGTTCTTAAAATACGGAACAAAAGCTTGTTGATGTGCTTCCAGTATTTTTGACCCACAAGAGATAAAGATTTTCAGAATACTAATAGTCATGCAACATTGTGATGTCTGTGGATACTAGATGAAGAAAAAGCCCAACAAAATTATTAAGTGATATTGTATACACTGTAACATTAACATTACTGGGTATTTATATTCACAGAAAACTTGTGAGGTCACAGTGTTTAACCAACCATGGACCCAAACTACTGAACTGACCAGTAACACATGTGGTCCCACTAAGAGACAGTTGGGTGCCCCCCACTCCATCAGCGTTAACGACCCTCAAGTTCAGGAGATTCTTTCTCAAGCTATTGAATTGGCCAATGGAATGTCTAACGCAATGTTCCGAATGTCAGAAGTGTCCATACAGCATATTACCAAACAGGTAAGTGATGCAGGAGGCTGTCCAATTTTCCAGTTTAGATCAAAGATGATCACTAGAGTCTGTAACAGGTACTTGTCAAATATTGATTCTATCACAAAATTGAAGACAATTGAGAAGTTACAGAATTTCAGTCTTGTACATATACAAGGAATGGATTCTATGTCTTGTACATATTTTTGAAAGGTTTCTACCTCATGAATTCCACAAAATTATGTCAAATGTGGGTTATTCCTCACAAAATGTGATTGTACATGACATGATATTTATTATGATGTCACTTTGCATTAAATGAGGAACAGAGGGACATAAAGACTGATTGAGGTTTTAAAAAAATGTAGCATCTGGTCTTTAAGGTGTAAGGCAAGTGTTGTATGTACTTTACCACTTAACTACCTATAACTGACTTACCATGATATCCTTCTAATTTTAACCGACTGACCATGCCAATGACCACCCTATAAATGACTGACCATGTAAGTCATCACCCTATAACTGACTGACCATGCCTATCATCACCCTATAACTGACTGACCATGTAAGTCATCACCCTATAACTGACTGACCATGTAAGTCACCACCCTATAACTGACTGACCATGTAAGTCACCACCCTATAACTGACTGACCATGTAAGTCATCACCCTATAACTGACTGACCATACAAATTTTTAGCCTACGGCTCACTATAATTGGCATAGTATGTCAGCTGAAGGGTTTTTTTATTGGCATGGTGCCAATGCCATGTCAATCAACACCCTTTAAACACTTGCTTTGTCACCCAGCTGCCTTTAAATGACTGACTTATTCATTTGCAGCCATATGTTAAGAATGTGTTTTTTAATGCTTCAGGTTGTAGCTGGTTTTAAATACGAGTTTGACCTTCTCATGGGTGAATCTTCGTGCAGGAATATTGAAGAAAGCAAAGGACTGACTGCTGCCCAATGTCCAGTTAAGAACGGAGGAATGGTCAGTAGATCACACTGATACATTAGATTCTAATTTGGTCAGAGTCATGGTGATGAGAAATAGATTTTTGAAATTCCATATATTTGTTACTTGACATTCATGGAATTTGTTCAGTGAACTATCATATACATATTTGAATTATTTTTCAGTCTCAAGTATTCCATGTTGTTGGTATCTGGCAGTCGTGGATGACTCCACAGTACCAAGTTACTGTTTCACCAGTGGTATGTACCTGTCACGGTTAACTAACACTGCTTTCACATTGTTTTAGCATGTTTCTTTCCCAACTGTAGACATTATTTCTCACCTTTTTAATTTTTCATTAGTTTCATTGTGTACAGTTTACATAGAAATTTTATGGCGGTGGGTTTTCTTTCTTTCCTTTTTGCCATTTAATATTTCCTAGTTATTTGTTGTGTAAGATTTGCTGCCATCTTTGAGGTATTTTTTGTTGAAAGTTTGTCGGCACTAGCTTGTTTTGCTTTCAATTTCATGTTATTTAAGGAAATTTAGTAAAGTTCCTTACACAGTTGTTTGTGTCCTATGGGAAAATTTGGATTTTGTGACAATTAAGTCCTTCTGATTGTCTCTGCCTTATCGTTATCGGTGAAATATCGTGATATTTGACTGGTAGGTTGCTTGGGTGAAGCCCAACAAAGTTTAGTAAAAGGAATGGCCTTGATCCATCTCTTGGATGAAGCATGTTTTTTTTTTAAAGAAATGACCTTGTCCTGAATTTACAGGGGTGAAATTTGTTAAAACTTTAAACAATTTCTTCTGATTAACCAAAAGATCTAGAATTATATTTGGCAAGTAGGTCTCGAAGGTGAAGGATGAAAAAGTTTGCAAAAAGAAATGACATCGAACCATTTTCAATGTCACAGGGGTCAAATTTGTCAAAAACTTCTGATAAACCAAAAGTCTGAAAAACGGGAATTCTGATGAAAAGATGTTTGTAGGTCAAAGCCCAACAAATTCGAGACAAAAGAAAATAGAAGTGATATTTACTTTGAATTTAGGTCATAACTGCCCCTGTTAGGAGCCGAGTGTCAGAAGCTAAAGTTTGTTGTGGATAGTATGTGCCCACTTTGAGTGCCTATGGTGCACACATTAAAGTATTTGTTATGAACAGTGATTGTATTTTTTTATGAACATTGAATACCAAGTGAATGATGCAATTTTCCAAAGGTTGAAGTCAGAAGAAAAAGTTTTCACAATCAGTTCTTGGATCTGTATCATAAATATCAAGGATTTTAGAATAGTAAACAGATAATTTTATAGAAATGTCTCCTGACTATAATGGACAATTTTTAATGAATTTCAAAATGGATGTGTTAAGTTTAGACAAGATATTACCATGTAGGGGATGTGTATAGTTGGGGAAACTTCTCTATGCCTGTTTTGACTGGAGTAAGTGTACTGGTTGAACTTCCTTATGCCGGTTTTGATTTGAGTATGTGTGTTGTTTGGATAACTTCCTTATGAGTATCCTGACTGGAGGACAGTGTATAAATAGTAAGTTGTAACTAAATTGTCGTTCTAATTTGATATCTAGTTCTGTCGTTCTAATTTGATATCTAGTTCTGTCGTTCTAATTTGATATCTAGTTCTGTCGTTCTAATTTGATATCTAGTTCTGTCGTTCTAATTTGATATCTAGTTCTGTCGTTCTAATTTGATATCTAGTTCTGTCGTTCTAATTTGATATCTAGCTCTGTCGTTCTAATTTGATATCTAGTTCTGTCGTTCTAATTTGATATCTAGTTCCATCAGAAGGCAGCTCAGTTTTATAGATACAGAGTTTATTTTCTAGTTTAGTTCAGTATTTGGACAGAAGTTAGCACTGTTTTGACACGATAAAATTGCATACCTTGATCCGTATTTCAGTATTATTAACACTTTCAGCATTTTCATAGTGATGATGGGATATTAAGATACTGGAAGCGTGAATCAATAAAATGCAAAATTTTATAACATAGAGATCACAACATAGTACTAACCAGAATTACACCTTGATTGGTTACTGTACAACTGGTTCCTCACATGATCAGCTACTTCGGGTATTTGGAATTAAATGATCAAGAAAAGAATGTTATGCATTACATAATATATAGATATGCATGAAATTGGATTTTATAAATACTACATTGTATGAGAGGCTTACCTCAATTATCTAAAAGAAATTTTCAGTGAGTAATATCTTTGTTACTCTAAAACATACCTTATGGGTTTAACATATAGAAAAGAAAAAACGAAGAATGTTTTTCATTATTGTAATTGCAGTATATATACCAAAAGTAAGTTTTGATAATTCACAAAGAAACTTTTAGCTTGATTGACACCGTTTTTCATAATTGTATTTTCTCATGTGAAGTATCAGAAGTACAGTAAATTGCATGGATAAAGAATGTAGGTGCCTGTTAATAAACTGTCTTTTTATTTATGCTTGTTGCAAGAAGTGTCCCTCTTCACTTATTTGTAGAGTGCCTGAGAAGTTTTCTGGTGTGGATGTCCCTCCCACTGCACTTCATAACCAATGTCTGGCTTTTACTAACAATCACATTTACTTTGTGCCATTTTTATAACAAATAAAAGTCACTATTAACACAGTTTCCAATAATTTGTTTTACTTCACTGGTCATTTGGGTTGCACTTCTACACTGTTTTGTGTGACATCAGTAAAGTTAATGTAAAGAGTAGTACATGCTGCTGAAAATGCGGATACATTTATATACAATTCTTGTTACTGTGTAGAAAGCACAAACAGTGGTTGGATTGAGATATTTTTGGATATGATTATAATATGGCTGATGAACATCTGCCTTTGTAGTGCGAAAATAAAACACAACATTTTAACAGCCACAGTATTGAATAGGTGAGGATTCTGAATACTGACTGTTTTGTTGCTCAAAATAAAGAAAACAAAATGGTTGATTCACAAAAGCAGAGAGAGGTTTATTACTGGAGTATGTTTGCTGTATGCATTATCACTTTACTTCAATCCTTTAATCAAATTAGTTCTTCAATTAACTGAGATTGAAGTCCATGCAGGTCTGCTAAACTTTAATATAGCAGTGCACATGTATGTGATGGTATAGCAATACTTCAATCAGAACTATTTATCTTTTTAAAGTAAGGGCAAAAAGTGATACACTGTACATGTAGTCAGACAAATAAATGAATTACAAGACCTCCAGTGTGTGAAAGACTATCAAACTAGACATCTTCAGTTTTGACCATTTGCATGTATTCTAAGAGATCACAGATATGTGACCAAAGTTTCCACCAATAGTCAGCTTGTAACATCTGAAAGGTGATAGAGTGTACATTTCAGTGATAAAAAGGAGATAGGTATATCCTGGTAAAAACCCTTGAATTTTGAAGATGACAGATCACTGTGACCAAAACCTCCATTTTAAGCTGTGTCAGCTGCAAAGACACACCTGTATGATATCATGTATGCTATTTAGGAACTGACCTGATCTGATAGAGAATCTTTTGGTTTTCCCTGTAATGTAGGAGTTGACCAACCCTATCAGAATGACTCAGAGATACTGATAGGTGCTGCGTGATACTCTCCTATCTCGGATGTCTAATACATTGTACGTAGTAAACTGGTGTAAAACATCTGTCGTGTTGCCATTCAAGATAGGACTCATGACAATCTCAAAAATATGTAAAGGACTTTCTGACAATGTTAAAATATGTAAAGGACTTTCTGACAATGTTAAAATATGTAAAGGACTTTCTGACAATGTTAAAATATGTAAAGGACTTTCTGACAATATTAAAATATATAAAGAACTTTCTAACAATATTAAAATATACACAGAATATTCTGACAGTGTCAAAGTGTACAAAGGACTTTTTGTCAAAATGTTTAAAGGACTCCAATGTATGTAAATGACTCCAATATAGGAAAAGAACTTTCTAACAATGTCAAAATATCAAAAATCAGACACTCTGAAAATGTCAAAATGTACAAAGGGCATTCTTACAATGTCAAAGTGTACAAAGGCTTGGTTAGGATTTATACTAAACTACAATGATATATTGGTTGGCTTATTTACAGCAGTTGTTTGAATTTATATTAAATCTGTAACAGATGTAGGGCTTATTACCAGGAATGGGCTTATTACCAGACAGATAGGTAACTTCCTACCTGTTTTGAAGAACACATGATATGAGTTAGATTCACCTGTGACAGACTGGTCATTAGCTGACTCAATCATATCTAGTATCTGAATAGACTTAATATCAAGATCTGTTTGAGTTAAAAAAGTGATTAAAAAGTTATATCAAATGAAGTATGTTTTAGGCTACAATAAGATATTGTGAACATTCAATTATTATTTTCCAAAAGCATATTGCCACTTGAATAATGTTTGGTATATATGATGTTTTTAGAACAAAGATCAGTATCTCACAACATCATATATAGAAGTTACTTAAAATCTTATCACTTAATCTAAGTTTAATGAGATACTTTCTTTAAGAGTAGAATATTTGCCATTTGCCTGCATAAAAATGTATTTATGAAACTTTATACACTTAACTTCTAGGATTTGACGTACTGAACACAGAAACACGATTGCCATACATCATATTAACAATTCAGATGTACATGTGAAAGACATTACTGGAACACAAATTACACAACATAAATAAAAAACAACTTTTGTGGAAGATATTTGTGGTTTTAGGCTAGGCACCTCAGTGGTTAATGTTTTACATTCAAATAAATGCTTAACTGTAAAGTCATCTACAGACAGCTGAAAACAATCCCGATTTAAGTATTTACCATAGAACATCTAGGGTTGACACTTGACAAAAAAAAAGATAAAACCCTTGACATTGACATTTTCCTGTACCAGAGATACTGTCTGTCCTATACACATCTAAGGAAATGGAAAAGATGTACTAAACCATATACAACTGATCTCAGGGATATCTGTCTTACATATAGAGATATAGAAAAGGTAAAGTTTACGATTGTTACAGCTCAGGAGATATCTGTCATTCACTCAGATATAGATGTCCCACATCCCAATGTGTCTGGTGTATTACAGGAGATATCTGTCCTGTACTCAGATGTAGGAGACATATCCCACACCACCAATGTGACTGGTGTATTACAAGAAATATCTGTCCTGTACTCAGATATAGGAGACATATCCCACACCCCCAATGTGACTGGTGTATTACAGAAGACATCTGTCCTGTACTCAGATATAGGAGAGATATCCCACATCCCAATGTGTCTGGTGTATTACAGGAGATATCTGTCCTGTACTCAGATGTAGGAGACATATCCCACACCACCAATGTGACTGGTGTATTACAGGAAATATCTGTCCTGTACTCAGATATAGGAGACATATCCCACACCCCCAATGTGACTGGTGTATTACAGAAGACATCTGTCCTGTACTCAGATATAGGAGAGATATCCCACATCCCAATGTGTCTGGTGTATTACAGGAGATATCTGTCCTGTACCCAGATGTAGGAGACATATCCCACACCACCAATGTGACTGGTGTATTACAGGAAATATCTGTCCTGTACTCAGATATAGGAGAGATATCCCACATCCCAATGTGTCTGGTGTATTACAGGAGATATCTGTCCTGTACTCAGATGTAGGAGACATATCCCACACCACCAATGTGACTGGTGTATTACAGGAAATATCTGTCCTGTACTCAGATATAGGAGACATATCCCACACCCCCAATGTGACTGGTGTATTACAGAAGACATCTGTCCTGTACTCAGATATAGGAGACATATCCCACACCCCCAATGTGACTGGTGTATTACAGAAGACATCTGTCCTGTACTCAGATATAGGAGAGATATCCCACACCCCCAATGTGACTGGTGTATTACAGGAGATATCTGTCCTGTACCCAGATGTAGGAGAGATATCCCACACCCCCAATGTGACTGGTCTATTACAGGAGATATCTGTCCTGTACCCAGATATAGGAGAGATATAACACACCCCAATGTGACTGGTGTATTACAGGAGATATCTGTCCTGTACCCAGATGTAGGAGAGATATCCCACACCCCCAATGTGACTGGTCTATTACAGGAGATATCTGTCCTGTACCCTGATATAGGAGAGATATAACACACCCCAATGTGACTGGTGTATTACAGGAGATATCTGTCCTGTACCCAGATGTAGGAGAGATATCCCACACCCCCAATATGACTGGTCTATTACAGGAGATATCTGTCCTGTACCCAGATATAGGAGAGATATAACACACCCCAATGTGACTGGTGTATTACAGGAGATATCTGTCCTGTACCCAGATGTAGGAGAGATATCCCACACCCCCAATGTGACTGGTGTGTTACAGGAGATATCTGTAACCAGATATAGGAGAGATATCCCACACCCCCAATGTGACTGGCGTATTACAGGAGATATCTGTCCTGTACCCAAATATAGGAGAGATATCCCACACCCCCAATGTGACAGGTGTGTTACAGGAGATATCTGTCCTGTACCCAGATATAGGAGAGATATCCCACACCACCAATGTGACTGGTGTGTTACAGGAGATATCTGTCCTGTACCCAGATATAGGAGAGATATCCCACACCCCCAATGTGACAGGTGTATTACAGGAGATATCTGTCCTGTACCCAGATATAGGAGAGATATCCCACACACCCCAATGTGACTGGTGTATTACAGGAGATATCTGTCCTGTACCCAGATATAGGAGAGATATAACACACCCCCAATGTGACTGGTCTATTACAGGAGATATCTGTCCTGTACCCAGATATAGGAGAGATATAACACACCCCCAATGTGACTGGTCTATTACAGGAGATATCTGTCCTGTACCCAGATATAGGAGAGATATAACACACCCCAATGTGACAGGTGTATTACAGGAGATATCTGTCCTGTACCCAGATATAGGAGAGATATCCCACACACCCCAATGTGACTGGTGTATTACAGGAGATATCTGTCTTGTACCCAGATATAGGAGAGATATAACACCCCCCCAATGTGACTGGTCTATTACAGGAGATATCTGTCCTGTACCCAGATATAGGAGAGATATAACACACCCCAATGTGACTGGTCTATTACACACCCCCAATGTGAGATATCTGTCCTGTACCCAGATATAGGAGAGATATAACACACCCCAATGTGACAGGTGTATTACAGGAGATATCTGTCCTGTACCCAGATATAGGAGAGATATCCCACACACCCCAATGTGACTGGTGTATTACAGGAGATATCTTTCCTGTACCCAGATATAGGAGAGATATAACACCCCCCCCCCCCTGGTGTATTACAGGAGATGTCCTGTACTATAGGAGATATCTGTCCTGTACCCAGATATAGGAGAGATATAACACACCCCAATGTGACTGGTCTATTACAGGAAATATCTGTCCTGTACCCAGATATAGGAGAGATATAACACACCCCAATGTGACTGGTGTATTACAGGAGATATCTGTCCTGTACCCAGATATAGGAGAGATATAACACACCCCAATGTGACTGGTGTATTACAGGAGATATTTGTCCTGTACCCAGATATAAGAGAGATATCCCACACCCCAATGAGACTGGTGTATTACAGGAGATATCTGTCCTGTATCCAGATATAGGAGAGATATCCAACACCCCCAAGGTGACTGGTGTATTACAGGAGATACCTGTACCCAGATATAGGAGTGATATCCTACAACCCCAATGTGACTGGTGTATTACAGGAGATATCTGTCCTGTACCCAGATATAGGAGAGATATCCCACACCCCCAATGTGACTGGTGTATTACAGGAGATATCTGTCCTGTACCCAGATATAGGAGAGATATCCCACACCCCCAATGTGACTGGTGTATTACAGGAGATATCTGTCCTGTACCCTGATATAGGAGAGATATCCCACACCCCCAATGTGACTGGTGTATTATAGGAGATATCTGTCCTGTATCCAGATATAGGAGAGATTTCCTATACTCAGATGTCTTTACTGGAGATTGTATCCTTCACAGACTGATGTGTTCATAACATCATAGAATATTGCTCATATGATTGCCTTTGCACTAGATATGATATAAGATAGATGAATACTGAATTTAAAAATCAGTAGTATTTATTTCAGTCACTTATATTGAGATGAAGTCCTTGATCATACATTTCAACTTCTTTTAAATCAAAACTGTAAACTTAAACAAAGAATTAACAAATTGAGGTCATTCCACACATAACAAAGCAAGGTCTTGTTATTTCCAGGTAGTAAAGGAAGACAGACCAGTGGAGACAGAAAAGCTCTCAACCCTGTCAATGTTCCTTGCCTTTAAGAAGAGACACAATAAGGTCTACTCCTCTACAGCTGGTGTGTACAACATACATACATTTGTTAGATACTAATGATGCTCTCTGTTTAGTTTTTAACCCTGAGTTACTCATAACAAGAAGCAGAAACATCTCTTTAATATTACAAACAAAATGTTTGCAAGTTTTCTCTAAAACTTTATAAATATTGTAATCAACTCTCCATTAATGTCTAAACACAACTTCAAAGGCATTCAGTTTTGGTCTCAGAATTTTATAGAGTTGCAGTCTGGTTGAATTTACTGTTGTATCCTGCTGTACTCTATGTATGTTAGTGAAAAAAAGGTTGCAATATCCCAGTTTTCCACTTTCCATACAGCACTCTTTAGTTTCCAATAGGTTACTGTCAAGGTTATTATTCTTGAGGAGGTTTATTTCTTGCTATTTTTGAGAATAGAATAAAAATAACACTGGAATATTTTGGATATTTTTGTGAGAAACATTGATTTTAGAAAGATTTATGTACTGGTAATGTATGTGTGACATTCCAGAGGAGAAGAAACGATATCTGATATTTGAGGACAACATGAGAACTGTGGCCAAGATTCAGCAGACGGAAGGAAAAGGAAGCACAGCTCGCTATGGGGCCACAAAATTTGCAGATCTCACAGGTGAGCTGAAAAAACTGAAACCAGACTCCATTGCAAGAACATACCTTGGGTAATAGTATCTCAGCATACTGTAAACATGCTAATTTTGGTGCAATTATATTTTAGCGTGTTATCACATTTTAGTAAATTGGTGCAATGATGAATTAATGCATCCACCATGCTTGCTTTTTAAACATTTTGAATGTATTATCATATTTAGTGAAATATTTTCAATGTGAAAGTGCTGAAATAAAATAACGATGGAAATATGTACGTTTACAGTATATTTTGCTTAAAAGTTGAAGTTTCACTTGGATGATTCATGTTGTTTACGAAGTCGTAGTTGCCTGCAGTATATTATGAGGAACATGTTAGACCACAGAAGTTGAATTGCTTTGATTTTGTGGTTGTAGAGTCTGAATTCCGCCAGTATGTTGGTTATAAATGGGACCTACTTGGTAATGTTGGTATGCAGAAGGCAGACATTCCCCGAGGGAACATCCCAGAAGCATTCGATTGGCGTGACCATAATGCTGTGACTGAAGTTAAGAACCAGGTTAATATATATATATATTTATATATACAATTGGTGATGTGAATAACAGGCTAGTGAGGTCAATTCAGTCTCTTGCTTTTCTACAGAAAATAGAGAATTTTCAGATATCTGTAGATAGTTCTAAAATTCTGTATGTGTCAGGTTTTCTGAGTATAGAAAATTATGTATGTGTCAGGTTTTTCTGAGTATAGAAAATTATGTGTGTGTCAGGTTTTCTGAGTTTGGAGAATTCTGTATGTGTCAGGTTTTCTGTGTAGTTTTCTTATTGAAAAGTATGTATGTGTTAGGTTTTCTGAGTATAGAGAATTCTGTATGTGTCAGGTTTTCTGAGTATTGAAAAGTATGTATGTGTCAGGTTTTCTGAATATAGAGAATTCTGTATGTGTCAGGTTTTCTGAGTATAGAAAATTATGTGTGTGTCAGGTTTTCTGAATATAGGGAATTCTGTATGTGTCAGGTTTTCTGAGTATAGAAAATTATGTATGTGTAGGTTTTCTGAATATAGAGAATTCTGTATGTGTCAGGTTTTCCGAGTATAGAAAATTATGTGTGTGTCAGGTTTTCTGAATATAGAGAATTCTGTATGTGTCAGGTTTTCTGAGTATAGAAAATTATGTGTGTGTCAGGTTTTCTGAGTCTAGAAATTGGCTGTTAGAATGTATCATAATATCCTAGTTTGTGTAGAACCAGTCCAGTTAAGGCTTTGTTAGCATTATGAGTGCATTGTTTAATAAGCCTTGCGACTAACTTTGTGTATTACCACTAAAGCCTGTTAGCTACTTCTTCAATGTAAAAAGGAGTTGTACTGATGAAGTTTAGTGTAATTGTTGACAGTAACTTTGCGTTCTAACCCTTTTATTTCAGGGTTCCTGTGGGTCATGTTGGGCCTTCTCTACCACAGGAAACATTGAGGGCCAGTGGGCTATCAAACGAAACAAACTTTTGTCACTTTCAGAACAAGGTAATGTAGCTAGGATCCAGCAGTCAGAATCCAATCATAGATTGTAGTAGACTTTGATATAGAATTCATGTTACTAAAGTAACCCTGTTATGGAAGTGACACCCAGTACATTATGAGTGACTGTAGTGTGTTCATTGTAATTGCATGGTTGTGATATTATCAAATGATTACTACTTGAAAGGGTACAGGGAGTATGTAAACTGACATTTATTTTGTTTACTTTATGTATTTTACAATAATTGTGAAACAAGCTTTAAGCTTATATTAATTGCTGTTTGTTGGCTTGGATGGAAGCATGCAAGGGGTTAAACTGTAGGAAGAAATTGGAGTACATGGGAGAAAACCCAGGTGGTTGGGTAGGTGAACCAATACCTTTTCACATCTATTCAGGGAATCGAAGCCTGGATTTCTAGTTTAAAGGGGAGTTGGTTACCACTGCACCATGCCAACCCATCACACCCAGACAAATCCCTTTGTGGAATTTAAGAAATTTTGATAGATTTATGCAAAGTCATGTGTGCCAATTTATTGTTGAGAATTTTTGTAACTAATTTGATATTTAAATAAAACAAAAAAGGCAGGACTTGTTCAGACATTATTGAAAATTGAAAAAAATTGAAAAGAATGAAATTGTTGTAATTAGAAACTCTAAGAAATTCTGGATAAATGAAATATTTTTCATTGTTTTCAGACAAAAAACCTTTAATTTTGTAATGTCACAATTAAAAAACAAAGCAAGCAGTAATAACATATTCATCTGTGTGGAAGAGTTTTGATGTGTAAATATAATACAAAAAAAGTATAAAACCATTAAATACAGCATAAGTAAGACATTTGACTTTAAACAAAGTTAGACTTTATGGATCAAGGCCGTCAACAGCAGAACTCCTTGAAGGTAATTTTATGGAGAGAGCACCTGTTTGTAACTTTCTTCACCTGTCTAGGGTAGAAAGTGTGACAGTGGTAGAGACAGGTGTTGTTAGGCAATCTAGGCTGATGTCACGATTATTGTCCTGACCAGATAAGGAGCTGATAGCTCTCCAAGGTCATCAACCCTTTTTAAGATCATATAGAATGGATTTAAGGAACTGAAATAAAACAAAAAGTAAAAATATCTCCAATTTTATTCAGTTATCAGTGATTGCAATGTTTTATTATATGTACTTTAAGAAGAAAAATATTAAAAAAAAAAAAAAAAATAAAGTTAGGAAAGATCTTATTTGATTAAGGCATTTATAATTGATACAATTGACAGAGCCTTATTTTTAGAGATGGTATTTACCTGAAATCTCTTTTATAAAGACCATCAATACCTTAAAACACAGCTCATTGCTTATATACCCTACCCTATGCTGTTTGGTGCTGTTAATAACTTAATAATTTAAAATACATTATTCACTATGAACAGTGTAATGTGTTAGATGGGACAGCCATTTTGATGGTTTGTTTGTTGTTGGGTTTATCAGCCCATGAACAGCAAGGCTCATTTTGAGAAAGAGTCTTCTTATAATAGTTGGTGGCTACCAAAATGAACAACATATGCAAGGTCAGTCATTATGCTATTCAGAGAGTAATAAGGGTAAAGTATGTTGCCAAATAACACAACAGCACAGACTAATGTGTCCCTCAGCTGCCTGAGAAACACAAAGCTGCCATGGCTAGGGAGTGTCCAACTACACACCTTGGATCATCACTCGAGGCTTTGCAAGTCATTGCTCTAACTGATGGTGCTTCATCGCTCTTTCCATGCCCACAATGATGATATAATGGTCATGTACTAGACATCAGCCTTTGCTAAGTCAGATTTATATTTTGGCATTGCCATGCTGATGTAAATATGCTGCTTTATTTGACTCCAAATAGATACAATATCCAGAACAGCTGAACCTTCTGCTGTTGTCTTTTAGAATAAATTCTCACAAAATCTAGAGTTTGAAGGTCTTTCTTTATTTACTGTTGGTCAGTAGAATATGTATCGGGCGGCCAGGTCTTTGTCTATTACTTGAATATAACAGGCCAAATCTTCTCTAATCACATACAATAAATAAAGGTATGCAGTGCTCTATACATATAGTGCTTGGGTTGTTAATCCATCCTTCTTAGAAGTGTTTATGTATCATTTTCACATACTGTGTAACTTTCAAAATAATCAATCTCCATTGAAATAATTTGAAAACTTATGTTTTTCTTACAGTATCTAGTCATATTTTAGTTTTAAAAATTCTGTCCAAAAATTGCAAATTTGAATGGTCCTTGTCACTGATTCTAGTTGTTTCGTGGTGGTTAACTGGAAATTGACATCACATATTCTATTTATTTGTGATTATGTCTTAGATTCTATTTGACTTACTGAAATAATTTGTATGTAATTTAATAGTAATAATGATAATGGTACATTTATTCCTGAAAAGTTAACCTTGAAGGTTACTGATATGCTGATTTTGCTCAACTCTGAAATACCACAAATACTAGGCCGTTCCTAGTTCTCAGAAGTCTGATTGTGAACACTGGCAGATGTACTTTTAGTAATTTTGTATTCCAGGACATGGCCTGTGATAAGATTTCCAAGTGTATCGGTGTAGTTTAAAATCACCTGTTTTGAGGTGCCTTTGTATGTGACTCAGAGATAGCATGGTTCTGATAGGGGTACCATCTGCCTGTTCTCACCAGCCTCACCCTGTCGTCTGAACTGTATATTTAGGTCACAAAGATAAGGATAAAGGAGTTTAACATATTTGGGAATTCTCAGAATTTTATTTCAAAACTCCTTGACCAATAATGACACATATCAATATAAACAACCAAAATGGAAAAAATAAAAAGTGGTAATCCAACAAAAATCTTATTCTCTCATCTTTGATTTATCATCCAATTATATGATTTTCATTGCCTATAAACAGACACCTGTTACATGTAATGGGTGACTGTCTTACTATGGACATGGAAAAAGCTTATACCAAAGGCTGTGATCCAACTTCAGTTGACCTTAACAGGACAGAAGTCAACTTGGTGACCTTTTGTGGTCAGAGTGAAAAGGACAAAGTGAACAGAGATGAGCGTGACCTTTTCAGAACATAGTGAACTTGTGAACACATTGACCTTAGGTCAAGGTGAATATGTGAATAGGATTACATTAGGTCAGGGTGAACAGAGTGACCTTTTATGTTCTCAATAATGGCCAGAGGTTAACTGGGTCATTTTATGAGAGCTGTAATGGCGTTATGTGTTCAAACATTGTCAATATTAATTATAGAACTGGTTGACTGTGACAAGGTGGATGAGGGCTGTAATGGTGGACTTCCCAGCCAAGCATACAAAGAAATCATCCGACTTGGTAATGTTTTACTCCTTATGCAATGGTTCACTGCCTCTCCAGTACATAATTTTGTCCTAGTATTATGTACTATAAATCAACGTTTACATCAGTGAAATGTTAGGGTTAGGCTAACTAGCTGAATGTCATTGATGCATTTTTTTTTAAAAATCGCATATCCAAGAATTTTTTAACAGCCCAATATTTTCACGAAAAGTTTCCCTAAATCAGTGGCATTCTTTAAGGCATTTATACTACACAAGGAAGAATGACCAATTATATATATATTTATAGCAAGGTAGCATTTAATATCTCTAACTACCTGTATTGAGTTTGTATACCTATCTATGCTGGGTTGTATATATGTTCCATGTTGATCTACCTATGGAAATGAAATTTACCTGTATTATAGGTGGCCTGGAGACAGAAACCAGGTATAAATATGATGGTGTAGACGAGAAGTGTACATTTAACAGGTCAGACGTTAGGGTGACCATCAACTCATCAGTGTCCATCTCCAGTAATGAAACAGGTAGGTTGTAAAACACTTTAATTTAGATGTTTGACCATGTGGTAATGCTAGTAACTTAGATATTTGACCCTGTGGTAATGTCAGTAAGTTAGATATTTGACCCTGTGGTAATACTAGTAAGTTAGATGTTTGACCCTGTGGTAATGTCAGTAAGTTAGATATTTGACCCTGTGGTAATACTAGTAAGTTAGATATTTGACCCTGTGGTAATGCTAGTAAGTTAGATGTTTGACCATGTGGTAATGCCAGTAAGTTAGATATTTGACCCTGTGGTAATGCCAGTAAGTTAGATATTTGACACTGTGGTAACGTCAGTAAGTTAGATATTTGACCCTGTGGTAATGCTAGTAAGTTAGATGTTTGACCATGTGGTAATGCCAGTAAGTTAGATATTTGACCCTGTGGTAATGCCAGTAAGTTAGATATTTGACCCTGTGGTAATACTAGTAAGTTAGATATTTGACCCTGTGGTAATGTCAGTAAGTTAGATATTTGACCCTGTGGTAATACTAGTAAGTTAGATATTTGACCCTGTGGTAATGCTAGTAAGTTAGATGTTTGACCATGTGGTAATGCCAGTAAGTTAGATATTTGACCCTGTGGTAATGCCAGTAAGTTAGATATTTGACACTGTGGTAATGTCAGTAAGTTAGATATTTGACCCTGTGGTAATGCCAGTAAGTTAGATATTTGACCCTGTGGTAATGCCAGTAAGTTAGATATTTGACCCTGTGGTAATGCCAGTAAGTTAGATATTTGACACTGTGGTAACGTCAGTAAGTTAGATGTTTGACCCTGTGGTAACGCCAGTAAGTTAGATGTTTGACCCTGTGGTAATGTCAGTAAGTTAGATATTTGACCCTGTGGTAATGCCAGTAAGTTAGATATTTGACCCTGTGGTAATGCCAGTAAGTTAGATATTTGACCCTGTGGTAATGTCAGTAAGTTAGATATTTGACCCTGTGGTAATGCCAGTAAGTTAGATATTTGACCCTGTGGAAACGCCAGTAAGTTAGATATCTGACCCTGTGGTAATGCCAGCAACTTTGATATTTGACTCTGTGGTAACATCAGTAAGTTAGATGTTTGACCCTGTGGTAATGCCAGTAAGTTAGATGTTTGACCCTGTGGTAATGTCAGTAAGTTAGATATTTGACCCTGTGGTAATGCCAGTAAGTTAGATATTTGATCCTGTGGAAACGCCAGTAAGTTAGATATCTGACCCTGTGGTAATGCCAGCAACTTTGATATTTGACTCTGTGGTAACATCAGTAAGTTAGATGTTTGACCCTGTGGTAATGCCAGTAAGTTAGATGTTTGACCCTGTGGTAATGGCAGTAATCTGTAAGTTATCTATAAACTGATATTTTCTGTAAACTGAATAATGAAATTAATTTTGCTTTAATCTTACTGGCTGACTTTTTACCATTGAGAAGATTATATATATTGCGATGAACATCAAGACATTCTGATATTTTTTATGATAACACTTCATTAATGGAAAAAATTGTTATAGATACAAGAAGATATCAGATTGACATAATACACTACATTTATACTTGTTAATGAAACATGATAGGGGACATTACTTTTGCTATTCTTGAATATGTTTTAAATTAATTTTCGTACAGAAATGGCTGCATGGCTAGCAAAGAACGGCCCCATCTCCATTGGTATCAATGCCTTCGTTATGCAGGTAATGAAGAAAGGCCAAAAATTTCTCAAGTTATGCAAATAATTTCTGTAACTATGTTGTTAATTCTGCAGCAATGTCTTAACTTTGCCAAAAAAACAAAAATTAAAATGTTTGACACATTTGCAAAAGCAGTAGAGATGAATTTTATGATTTTGACTATTAAGTGAAAGTTTTTGGGAACTAGATGTTCTGGGGCTGCCTCAGTAGATTAGGCTGGTCAAAGTAAATGTGTAATAGAAGTTTTCTGGGTTCCTTGTGTTTAGTGGAAATAAGCACTACATGAGAAAACATGTATGCGAGACTCAGATAGGTTTTTAAAACCTTTCAAAACATAATATAAATTATTTTCAGTTCTATATGGGAGGTATATCCCACCCATGGAGTTTCTTCTGTAATCCCAAGAATCTGGATCATGGAGTCCTCATCGTAGGATATGGCGTTCGTAAGTACATATATCAAACAACTAGTAATCTGACCAAAGTCGCCCAGTTAAAGGTTAAATTTTGTAGTCAATGATTTTTAACATTGTAAAGCGAATTTTGTCATATCATTTGACCAATGGCTAATGTCATCGAGTTCAAGATGAAGTGTTTGTAAGTGTTTGCTACGTTGAACAAAATTAATAGAAATATTAGAGATAATAGAGATAGTAGAAAAAATTCTGTTTCTTGTACTCTTGCTGTGCAAGTTAATTTCACTGCTATGGCCCTGTCTGAACTATCAATGTGCTCTGAATTATCAATTTTTTTTTGTGTTGTACAGAGGATGGTACACCCTACTGGGTGGTGAAGAACAGTTGGGGACCTGACTGGGGAGAAAAGGTAGGAATTCAGTATCTTACTGAACCTTAATATTCTAATACAAAAAGTAATCACTTGTTGCTGGTGTGAATTTCAATCTACAGTAGAAAATTTACTGTTTGTAAAAGTTCAGAAAAATTCTCCCATTATAGTGCCATATCTCATATCACAATCATCAATTGTATTTTGTAAACATTGAAATGAGGCATAAAAACAGACACAAATTACAAATCCTATGACACCTTTCTGTTTTATATTGATGGCATCTCCCCAAGGTGTATTGCAAACTTTAAGCAACTTCTTCTACAGAAAAATGAGGATTTGATTCATATAATTACTTTGAAGGTCACATTGCTCAAGAGTGTTAAAATTGAAATGGCACTTGATTTGTAACAGACTATAAAGTAATCAGTAAACTATGAGGCTTGGAGTCACAAGTCACAACATTTGGGATAAAAAAGTAGATTTTATTTTTATCTTATACCTGGTCCAACTGTCAAAGGGGCTGAAATGTATTAGATGAAGGGTTTCCTCCATTTTTGTGATTGATAATTTACTATGATATTGTATCTCTGTATTCATTATAAAGACCTCCCTAAATTTCTGTCTGGTGTTGTAGGGTTACTACTTGGTGTACCGCGGAGATGGTGTCTGTGGCCTCAACACAATGTGTACATCAGCAGTGGTTGACTAGTGAAGTGAGACCTACCAACACCACAATTTTTAATGTGAAACATCAGTAACAGTTTAACAGTATCAAATGATTTAAGTACTTATGTACCCTGTTTTGTAAGTGTTCATGTTGTAATGAACAGGCTGATGTGGTGAAATCAGTGAACATATAGTGAAATTTTAACATCTAGTGGTACATACATGTAAAGCCTTCTATTTAACATGCAAAAATCCACATTCAGGTGTTCATTTGACCGTCTCCAGACTTTTGGAAAATCATGTAACAAATTTGTTTTTTTTAAAAGATGTAAAATTCATTTTTGTATGAAAAATCAAAATGGAAAGTTGTTTATTTCGTATGTAACAAGGGTGTCATAGATGTTCTTATTTACTACCAATACCCATTGTCACATATTCCATTTTTGTGAAACAGTTTTCAAAAGTTGACCATTGTTTTGTTGAATTTTAAAGATGATGCGACTCCCAAGTAGGTTGATTTCAGCAGAATCTTAGAATCTGCTATTTTACATCATTTCATTGAATTTTTTACAGCATAAGGTGAAAATTCAAAATAAGTTATGTATTTTGTGTTTTTTGGTTTTTTTTTTGTTACTCCTTATGAATTCTTGTAAGTGCTATACATATTGTGCGATGATCTGAATTCTGAATGTTTTTACACATCATGGTACTGTGATAAAACTAAATTGAATTTCGACTTAACGAACAGTTGAGGATTTTTTTAAATTTACAGAAACTAAGATAAGTTGCTTCTTTTTGATCAAAGACAGTTTCACTAGTCATAATGCTAATAACAGGTAATGAATGTTTATGGAGCTATATGTAATTTTCTTAACAAAATATGTATAATTTTTTTACATAGTTTATATTATAAGAATTGTACATATTTGATAATTGAAACAGGATGTCTTGATTAAAATTGTGCTTTTGTTAGCAGTAACAGAAGTCTTTTCCATGCCTAAAATGTCACAATTTTGTCTTGTCCATTTGTGCCTGGTATATACGGTGTACATATTGTCATATGCAATTGATAATGCTATATATATATACACTTATACACAATTTGTGTTTCCAATATTTTATACATGCATATATACATGTTTATAGACAGATATTAAGAATGAACAATTTTCAAGATCTGAAAATGGACTTATTTATGTACTTAAAAAATTTATATATCTAATCATTTATAAAAAAAAATAGATTACTGATATTAAGAAATGAGGAATTTTCAAGGTTTTGAAATGATCTAAATTCTATATTATTTGTTATTCTACATGTTTACATAATAATGATTGTCAGTGTTTGTGTTTACATTTTCCGGATTGTCTGGTAAATAATTGTAGATCATTAAGACAAATTACTCAGAATTATGAAGAAACCAGTTATGAATTAAAAACATTCCAATTTTATCATTAACATCATTGACAGATATTACAGGATACCCATTTTATTTGTTTTTTTTTCTCTTATTTAACATTTGGAAAGAAGATTTATTGTAAATACTGTTTTGAGTTTTAAAAGTGAATTCAGATGATGATATTAGGCGTCATAAATTTCGACAGAAGTTTCAGCTTCATTTTGAAATATGAAACTGTTTTTATTGCTTTCAATTATTTTTGGAAAAAAAAAATCTTTTTAGAACTAATCAGCAACGAAAGTGTTTATATGTATGATGATATTAACTTGAAACTGTTAAATTTTGTACGTGTTCAGAAAATAAATTATTGGAAGCATATTATTGTTTTTCATTCAATAACACATCCATTATTTATATACCAGTTTTTGTCTGGCATTGTTACATCACTGAATAACAATATGAAAATTTTAAAACTCACAAGGGTCACTCATGTGTGAATCTGAAGGGTCACAGGGTGTACTTACTGGTAGATTTTCATCCAAATGACTGTGAAATCTGTAAGATCAGAACCTGCACTTGAGAATGTGTTGAGACTCCAGAAGAGACTGAGGAGTAAAGTGGTAAGTGATTGCTTACAAGTGATTAGATGTAGCTTGCACTTTCAGTTTCCAATGTATATCGGCTGATGCGTGTCCAAAATGTCCACGACTTATTCCTCACACACCTGACACCTTTTTTTCATACCCGGCCCCACTTGTATAAAACATCTCAACTTGAGATTTCCTCAAGTCGAGATTTTCCTCAGCTGATATCTCCTCAAAAACGGCTTGTATAAAATTTTCTCAAGGAACAGGAGGAAGGCATCGGCTAGGATGTCCTGAAATTCCTTGAGATATTTTCATACAAGATATTTTCAAGGAGATATTAGCTGAGGAAAATCTGGGCTTGAGGAAATCTAAAGTCGAGATGTTTTATACAAGTGGGGCCTGATACATGGAAATTGTTTTATCAAAAACAGGAAGATATTAAGGTATCAAAAGTGTAAGCAAAACGACAGTCAGTTATCATAGGGTAATAGGTCAATGTGTTTTAAATACTTTTCCTTTACTTCGAATAAATTTCAGCAAAGTTAATCAGATGAGCGATACAGGCCCGATGTGGGCCTCTTGTCACTAGAATATTTTGGTAAGCATTTAATGACTAATACATGACAGTAAGACACATCCCTGGCTTGGTGATGGATTAATAGTTACCCAGAATGTACTACAGGGATTGTGTATTATTTACAATTGTACACCTTGACATTGTACAAGATCAGTCTGTTAATTACCGACCTGTTTTCTGTACCTTGACACTGTAAAAGATCAGTGGGGACCCAGAGTAACCTCTTTACCACTGAATGTATCCAAATAAGAAGACGGACTTCTAATACACATACGACACTATTATCTTTTTTAATTAAGTTATGCTTTTGAAAATTTTTAAGTGACAAAAAAGAACTCATAGATATTCACAGAGACTGTTTATTTGGTCATTTTGTAACAAAAAATGGACTCAACATCAACACAGCTATAAACCACAAAATTTGTGTTCATGAATAAGATGATTCCTGATAATGTAAGCTACTATTGAACAAAGTAATTATCCACTTCCTTTCTGTCCACATGGTTGATTTATTTGAAAGAAACAATAATCTGCCCGATGTCTTGCATAAATCCATACTAAATGCACAATATCTGATAAAAAGTACAAAAACAACCAATCACAGAAACAATACATTTAAGTCATCTCCAGGGTGACAAAATTACTAAATGGAGCCACAATGAGTGATGAAAGTAATTTAGATGTAAAATGTACATGATTTCTGACATAAATATATACACACTTTGCCCTGATAAGGAACATAGTTCAGCGCTGGTAGTTTGAGCCACTGTATGATCCCCACTGATTATAATTTGACGCTGCCGTGTTGTTACTTGAGTTGCCGGTTGCTCCTGACTGGTTGTATCCCTGCCAGTATCCCTGGTTCCACTGTTGTCCTCCCCAGTTATAGTTCTGGCCTCCCCCCTGGGCATAGTTCCAATGCTGCAAGTACAGACAGACATCTGTAGTAGACTGAATATTCTAGCATTTGTGTATGAAATTCTCTCATCATGGAAGTCTAGAAGTATATTTGTAACCAATATCTCAACCTTTTTTGAAATTTGTCATTTATGGAGTTTAAACATTACAATGCCATATAGAAAATCCAAAATATTGAGCTTATCTCATAAGACAGTTTTGGTCCAATAAGCATAAACATGTTTTGATTATACTGACTTAACTGAAACGTATAAATATACGTAGTTACAACACTGTGAAAACTAATTGTTGCTAACTTGAATTGCTGAAATTGCAGGCTTACAGCAGCTCATGTGATAAATGAAAGTAGTCTTCTCTGCAACAAACACCACAAACTTGACAGTATACAATTTGATGAGAGAACTCACCCCATAGCCTCCTTGCTGCTGATTGCCCCAGTTTCCTTGGTTACCCCAGTTTCCTTGGTTACCCCAGCTGCCCTGGTTACCCCAACCTTGAGATTTGTTTCCATAGCTCTTACTGGAGTTTCTGCTGTCATTACGATCCTGTAGAATCAAACAGTTGATAGTTAAAAGCTGAAGAATGACACTCAACCTTGCATGCATTGTCAGATCCAACCTCTCCAAAAAAAGAAATGGATCCAACAGAGATTTTTGGAAATCATTTGACACCTGTTCAGACTTTTTAATTATTTACTTAATGCTAGTCTGATATCCAAGAATTGTGAAGCAAGTCATTGGAGCCAACTACCTTACATGAGATTTATAATCATTTTGAATATTCAAATAGTGGATGTGATGTTTCATACATCAGGGACACAATAAAGAGTACTTACACGACCCTTCCAGTCACTACCTCCTGAGCGTCTGTCACCACCCATCCTACGATCGTTGCGATCGTCACGACTGTCACGGTGACGGTTATCATACTTATTGTAACCGCCCCCTCCTCTTTGGTAGCCACCTGTAACAAAACCATAGAATATTCACAAAAATATTAAATAACCCTAAAACACGAAGATATCAACCTCACATCTACAGCATCAAAACTACAGAAACTTGTATACAATACCTAATACAATGTTCACAGGTATATACTCATAACTACAGCATCACAACTACAGAAACTTGTATACAATACCTTGCATATTTGATCTTCATATGATACAGCAGTATTAATCAAAACAAGTTAAAACAAGAGTTCCTCAGAACTGTATGTGTCGCCTGCATAAAGTGTCACGGTCATCCAGAAATAGAACTGGATGTGCAACGTTCAACCATAAAGTTGTAATACCAAATTTCTTTTTTATCACTAGACGCATAAAGGGAAAACTGCGCAAAGCAATATTCCTGAGAAATTTTCCAAGTTCAAAGGGACATATTACTGCCAAGAAAGCCATGCATCGAATCTTATCTATAATGTTCAACCATGAAGCCATTTCTCATATATCATTTCAAAAACTCTAAGCATATACAAGAAAAGTACGAAAAACCATATTCTCGAAGAATTTTCAAAGAGGCATAACTCTGTAAAGAATGGTCACAGACAGCCAAGAATCACAACTAATCTGTACCCTTCCAACAAGAAGCCATATACCAAATTTCATTTCAATATCTCAAAGCATAACCAAAGAAAGTCCAGAAAACAATATTCCCACAGAATTTTCTAAGTTCAAAGGGGCATAACTCTGCCAAGAAGGGATACAGACAGCCAGGAATCAAACTTAATCTGAACCCTTCCAACAAGAAGCCATATACCAAATTTCATTTTGGTAACACAAAGCATAACCGAAGGAAAGTCTTGAAAGCTTTGGTACGGACGCTGCCGACGCATAACGACAGACAAAGTGATCCCTAAGTGTCCGCCAGCTCTGCAGGCGACACAAAAGTAAACCATAGAATCTCAACAATATGACCTACCCAATATGATAATTCACACATGCACCTTTCAAAGTTTAACATTATTCTTGCCAACTTTTTAACATTTCCATAAGGGAGCTTATGCATGTTAAAATAATGCATGTCTCAGAAACTGTTTACAGGACTCCTTTTCACAAACTTGTATGTAGAACTCCTTTCAACAGATTTGTATGTAGAACTCCCTTTGACAAAATTGTATGCAGAACTCCTTTTGAGCAAGCTTTACTCTTAAAGCCACATATAATAATTAGCACATTCTGCTGGACTTACCTTGTTTTTCAAAATTATGAACAATGACAAATATCACTTATGTTATCAGTTCGGGTCAGAAATGGAGATTTTTTAATCTTTGTCCACAGGATTGACATGTACTCCAACAAATAAGATCCTAAATACTGATGATATTATTTTATATGTAGTGACACCTGCAGTTGTGATATTTTACATATAATATAATATAAACACCTAGATCTGTATTCACACTCACCTCTATTGCCTCCATAGCCGCCACCACCACCATAACCACCTCCGTAACCACCCCCGTAGCCACCTCGTCGGTCGTTACGATAACCACGGTCACGGTTGTCTCTGCCACCATATCGATCATGGCCTCTGCTGTCACGTCTCTCAATGTCTAGAAAGTAGCAACAAGAATACTGAATATTTCCCTATTATCCAAGATTAAATATTGGAATGGAATTTCACTGTGTAAGAACTAGTACTGGTCTGAAATAAGCTTTGCATTTGTTTTCTACACTTCTGAATGAATATGGCACTTGTTTTCAAGCAAGTTACTAAAATGCAACAAAATAGATGTTTGAACACATTAATGAATGTTCCTGGTTCTATTTTCGCAAGTTAAGAATGACTGCAATATCTTTGGGATTCATTTTAAAAGTACAATATGAAGGCAAACAGCTGAAATATTCATCATTACACCTTTAATACATATGCTGGTTGACTGAAACTTACTAGCAAAGCGACTTTCCCTGTGTCGTTTCTCTGGTGGTGGGAGGGCATCCTTCCCTTCTTTGTTGTATTTCTGGATAAGTTCCTTCAGTTCCTCACCATCTAGCTCCACATTCTGTATCTCATCAAAAAGCACTCCCTCCTCAGGCATGGAGAAGTTAGCTACAAACAGATAAAGGATGATGAAACGCCACCAAATATCGGCCAGAGATGGTCCTTTTCGAACTGGCATCCCTGGCTGGCATGGAACAGCCTACACCTTACATAGAGAGTAATCTTTGACATAGGCATGCTAAATGATAGTGTAAGGGACTACATACATATAGAGTATGGCCAGCTGGTGCCAGCGTTCGAGGTCTGCACAGCCTACCTTTCATTTCAAGTACTGCTCTAGTTGGTACTTCCTTTCCTTCCTCCTTCTCTCGCTGCTCAATGCGTTTTTTGAAATCTTCATCAGACGGAACTATCACAACAGCTTTGCGTTGAAAACCTTCAAAAGGCTGCATCTTACGTCGTCTGGCTGATGCATACACATTTGTCTAGCATGGCAACAGAGAATATAAATATCAATCTCGGATTGGGCGGACTGTCTGATTGCCTACAGAGGCGGACAGTGCACAGTTCAAACTGTTGCTATATAAAAAAAATAATCCATCCATTCGATCTGCAATATACTCCAAGAATATAAGAATCAGTGACAGACAGCTCCATCTCAGTTCAATACTTACCAGTCCTCTGGAGCTGAAAAGAACCAGCCTACTCTAGCCTAAGATCATGTTTTTAGCATTGGAATAACCAAGCTGTCCAATTTTGTATGTCTCCTCAGTCTCAACAATAATAGCATACAATATTCTGCATTCTCATTTCCTTTGTTAAAACCGACATCGTTGATGAAAAACATTAATTGCAGGTAACATAAATCCAGGAATTACTTCATTCTCTTTGTGAAAAAAAAAATCATTACATCAAATTTCTCCCGACATCAAATTAATCCTTTGTATTAATACATATGTGGTGCATCCTATTCTGTCATTTTCTCCTGAATGACTTGTGTTCAGTAACAGAACTTATGTGCTGTAAGGTATTATATACATACAGCGACTTTAATGCCTGACGACTGTCGCAACAGATTCTTGGCTAGATAAATCTAGAACTAAACACACTTACCGTTTTTCCTGAAGTGTCCAAAGGCGAGTTGTGAACTTGTGGGTAGGTTAAGGGGAGGGGCAGTACGTACCTTTGTGTTTGAAGAAAGGATAACATCAGCTGTTTATACCTACCTGACATGCTTGTACAATGCATGTGATGATGGATAAGTTAAATTTTCAGTCATCTCCATATAGCCTAATTTGTTGACATTAAATTGGTTGTTTATTTGTGACACTACTGTCACCTTCCACCAGTGTTTGGCACTTTCCCAGCACATCTTTGCCAAGTGCCAACTGCATTACCTGGTCAAGTATGAAGTTCCTCTTTTTGCTTGCTGCCATCTCCAGCATTTTGTTGAGACATTTGGTAGAGAGATCAATCAGGATGTCCCAGCGGCCGGCATAGTTTCTCTTTCTTGGAAGACCCATCACCTGTGGACACAAATCAAAGTCAGGTGTCAGCCAATATGTTTGACACTTACAACAAGAGTTGAATATTTCCTTACTACAAACGTGTTAACTCAGATCTATTTTGTTATATTACTAAAAATTACTTTGATTGCTGACCTTTACAGATAGAGCACTGCACATGACTCAGATCAACAAGTGTTATTATCTTCTTAAAATGAGGAAGTATTCAAAATCTCCTAAACCCTCATGACAGTTGAGTTTTGCCATGTTGTTGTATACCAACCTTTATCCTCTCAAAATAGAAAATTTGTACACAAAGTTTAATTAATATCCATCACTGTATTCTTTGAATTATGCAGACATTTTGAACGCACATCTCATTTTATTATGATCCAAAATAACCTTGACATTTAATCCCCAACTCTGAAGATTGGTATACTTAATTCTTTCACTGAATGCTGTATGTTTGTTAGCCTCCACTGCCTGGTTATCTCTGAATTATCGTGACAGGCTCCAAATGATTGTGAATTTGTTGACTGACTTAAGACAGTCTGAACCTTTGATTCAGAAAATCAACCTTTCTTTGATGAAAACGTTACCTTCATCTTATCAATGATGTTGTTGGTACCCAACACATTGTACTTCTTGTCCAGATTCTCTGATCTGTATTTATCACACCATGTTGTCTTGCCAGCTCCAGGTAAACCAACCATCATGATCATCTAGATAAAGAAGACATCAATTGGTTAAATCATTGAAACAAGTATGTTCCTTCAACTGAAATGTTGTAACTGATGTATTCAAAATCAAAACACTTACATAATGCAGAGCACATAACAAATGCTTTCTTTCAACTTTTCATTAAACAGTATCAAATATGTACAGAAGATTTACGTACCTGGCAATCTTCCTTCTTGGCTGGAGGCAGTGTTCCTCTGATCTTATCCTCTACTTTTTCTATAAACACAAATTCCTCTTTAAGTGGGAACCATGGTTCTTCCTGTAAAACAATATGGGAATAATTAGAACACATCAACAGGTCAGACTTATTATCTTCAGAGCAATTTCATCAGTGTATCATAATCACCTTGATTCTCAGAACAAAGGTAGACTTAATACATATACAAAAGCTTATGTCATCAGACGATTGGCAAATGAGGAATAATGAAGAGATTTATTCTCAAGACATTAAGGTTCCTCACCTGAGCTCCAAAGTTGACCTCAAAGGATGTGTTTTTAGTAAGGATGTGGGGAAACAAGGCATTGTCTCCTAGAGTTGGTTTCTCTATTGAGAAACAGACCCCCAATTCTTCACCATTCTTGGCATACGAGAAGATGACAGAATCAGCATCTTCAAAATCCTTTTAAAGAAGAAAACATATATTATTTTCAAATGCATGTTTAGCAAAGATTATAAAAAAAAACAATGACAACTCAAAGTAGATTATACATGAAAACTATTTTATAATGGATCTTAAATCATAGAGACAAATCACAACTATTTTAAATTCTAAGCTTTTCTCTCAATTATTCAGAAAATCTGATTTTTATGAGAGGTGAAGTGACCCTTGCCATAAAACTTCAAGACTTTTAAGACCTGTTTGGTTCTCTCATACAGAGACCGCATAAGAATGACATATTCAATGATAAAGAAATTCCTCGCCTCCTACTGATATAAACACTGATCAACCCACAAAAAATGACACATATCACACCAGCAAGTCTATTAGGGGAAATAAAGCCAATTAATAGCTTTCTTAATATTCCATGTCGATAACTGTCAGTTTCAAACGTTTTGTAAAATATATCAAGAACTGAATGATATCACATAAATATCAATGAACTGATGAAAGAGTAGACTTTTGCGAGATCACATTCTGCATCAAAGAATGATCAGTTCAATACTTACTACGTAACATGTGATGACATCTCCAGCTGTGTACTTCTCTCCATAGTCCTCAAACTTACAGTCGACAGATGCCTTCCCAGTACCTCCATAGCCATAGGAGAAAGGCTCCTCACCTATAGTATGGACAGGTATTTTAATCCTTGTCAAGTGTAACAAGACATCAGTAATACAAGTAACAAGTTGTAATAAAGTACTAAATAACCTCTAATTTCAAAGCACAGTTCAACCTCAAAAGTATACTTGACTAGTAAGTTTCCACACTGATACAATTTTAAGTTGATGAACGGTTGAAAACTGTAAAATTCATTCTAACTCTTTCATTTGAAGATACAATATATATAAACACTTCCACAAATTGATAAAATCTCTTTTGAGCAGATTTAATCTCGACTGTTACAGAATAACTAGGAATCAGACATGTAATTGTTTACTAACCAAGTTGCAACGATGTGGTGTCCATGGACCAGCCTGCCCTGGCTACATGTGGATTTGTCTCCTCTTGTCCTATGTGATCCAAGTACATGTTCTCAAGTAACTGTCAACAAAAACATACACAAATCAATAAACCACTAAAACAAAACTGCCATATTCAATATCCACTTCATATGAAATATAAAATTTTGAAGCAAAGCATCTGTAACGTTCTTCCAGTCTTCCAAAAAATACAACAGCTAGACATATGTCTAATGGTTTCAAAGAATCAAATCAAGAAGAAAATAAAGACTTTCTGACTCCTTGAGCAAATAAAAAATGTCAAATCATGATTATGTTGAAAGGTAATGAATACTATTCTATTACTTTCCTGCAAATGTTTGAACACTGCGTTTTTATCACAAGTTCCCCTCATAGCATCATTGGTAACATGTAAAAATGACCGTGTAAATCCATGAAGTTTGGATATCTAGTAAACACACTTCATTTTCAAGTTATATTTCTATACCTTAACCTATAGCACCATTAACTTTTTAGAGTGACGAGGACCTTTTGAAATAAATTGACGGATTGACCAACAGACCTACCTTGACTTCAAAAGCGACCTTTCCTTTAGATACACCAAACATTGCTCTGGTTCCACCCCACATCATGGAAAATCCATCATGAGTCAGGGGCTCTGCCTTCAGACTAGTTTCATCAATCTTCAAGTTGAGATCACAGTTGTCTGTTTGAATTCAAAATGAGGAACAAAATGATAACCATACCTTTTCACACACAAATCAATCAACCAAAAAGGTATCACCAGTTTTTATTTTCACATACATTCAAATGATGATTTACCTGAACAGGAACATTAATAAATCATAACACCATTGCTGGTGTTTTAACATCAATCAATAGATATTTTATCTCTACATGTTACATGTTTTCCCAGTGATACCTCACCAACAATGGGTTTTTGTCAGCCATCAAACTATGCTGCTTTGAATGTGTTTTTACTATCCTTTTTTTGCAACATTTTTTCATTTTCCTATACTATTTCAAATATGAAAACAGAATTTCTTACATCTATCAAGAAGCACTTGTGTAGAAGACTCCCAGGAGTCATCTTCCATCACAACTTTCTTGGGACTCCGTGGCCTGCAAGTCAAACATAAACCAACAATATATTTTTATTTCAAATCAAAATCATAGAATTGCTTTATCTTGATATATTGGTGGTTTAGGTCCAGCAAAAAGTACTTGTGACCCTTTTCATTTTTACCTACCTGTAGGTTTTCTGACTTTCCATTAATACTTGAAAACTACAAAGACTATGAAATTAAATCCCAGTTTTCTTCAAAATATATGCAGAAAAAGAAATTACATCTGAAGACTTTATAAATCAAGCATGGAAATATTTTGAAGATATGTGATGCTGAAATACTGAACAAACTTGCACTTTTGTGGAGCTCCAATTTCATGGTTTTTAATAAAAAAAATATTTCCGTAGATATTTTCATGGACTCAAAAAAATTCATTAATGCTAAAATAATAATTCTTATAATAATAAAATAATAATCATTATGTAGACACATGAACTTGTGGATTTAAAGTACCTATAAATTCAATGACAATAAACCCACAATGAAAATAAATGACTTTACAGTAATTCTTCATGGATGTTCACAAAGAATCATTTTCTTTATCATTTTTCATAAGTATGACCATGTTTCAAAATGATGGGACTTACTTTCTATCTCTTGGTGACCTTGACCTTCTTCGATCTCGTGGTGATCTGGATCGACTTCTGTGTCTATCATGTGAGTGGGATCTCTTTCTTTTGTTGTCGCTGGATTTTTTTCCATCTTCTTCTTAACAAAATCAACATCAATGTGCAAATCAGTGGGATGCTTCATTTTATCAATTAATATCATTTCAAGGCACAACTTCAACTAAAAAGTCAATTTCTAAATAGTAATTAACTTGTGTTACTTCAAGTGTTTCCTTATATTTATAATATACACACAACAAATTTCCTAGATGTATACATTGTTGTAATATCACACAGAGAGAAGGAAACATGGCACAAAATGATGATAAAGGAAGTGCTCAGTAATACATAGCAAAGAAAACAGTTTATTTTTTTAACTGAAACTTTTCAACCCATTCACAGAAAATATGTGAATATACAACAAAATAAGTATATTAGTAAATCTGAACAAAGTCGGGTCAATATTCACCTTTATTGTCATCATCTTCATATGTGGCTTCATCAACTGTTGTGAGTTCTTCCACAGCAGGAACCTCTTCATCTGTTTCACCCAATAATTTCTTTTCCTCTTCCTCGTTAACCTCCTCAGTAGAAGTTTGCTCCATTGGTTCAGCTTCTGGTACAGGCTCCTCCTTAACAGGAGAAGTTACCTTTACTGGTGATTCTTTCTGCACTGGTTCTGGTTTAGTTGCTTCTGGTTCTTCCTTTACGACTGGTTCAGGTTCTTTAACAGGTTCTGGCTCTGCCACTGGTTCAGGCACTGGCTCTGGCACTGGCTCTGGCACTGGCTCATCCACTGGTGGTGGAGCTTCAGTTGTTGAGGTCTAAAAAGAAAGAAACCAGGACAACAATCAAACTCAATCAGTGCTAAAAATAAATCCTTTTTTTTTGTGTTTTATCAAAATATATGTATGAAGGCTTGTGTAATGATAACACTATAACTGGTTCTTAGAGCATCACTTTCAATAATTCTTACTTACTGATATGTCAAAGTTACATGAATAAAAACTGAATATTTTATGGCACCATGTTAATGTTCAATATTGACTGTTCAGAACTATATTTATAAAATAACCACATTACATACCTTTTAAAAATACTCATTTTTACTGCCTAAATATACTGTAGTATAGTTACCTTTAGCTTTGCAGTAAAATAACAAAATTAGAGAGCTAATGAGAAAAAAAATGGCAATTTAAAAACAAAGAAAATCTTTCAGTTGCCTTTTGTTTCTTGTAGATCAGAGGAGTAAAGAACCTAGTATCCATCCATATCTGAAAGAACGGTGTTGGCTCTATTACCTGAAATCTTCTTATTTATATTGGAAGTCCGAATGACAAAATACTTACATCTGTGATATCCTGAGAGCTTTCGTCCAGCGCCGCACCACCATCTTGTGAGGAATCATCATGGGAAGTTTCTTCTGTTAGTGATTCATCTGCAGCTGAAACAACCAATTCACAAATCATGTCTACGATGGAGATATTTCATAATATTAACATCTGAAACATTAGATCATGTTGTTACTAAAATATCCAAATGTGTCTATTTTGTGTGCATGAAAATGTCAAACAGTGAATGCCAGTCGTGGCCGATAATGTGGGATATTGTCTCAAATACTGTCTGCATATGGCATGTAAATACATTATAACCTTGTGCACTTGTGGCATACAATACAGAGAAAAACTTTGCATAAGTCAATAAATGATGAGTAGAATGTAAAGTTTAATCTAAAAGTACAAGACGGGGCTATGTCTGGCTCTAAATTTTGATTTGCTAAAATCTAAATTTTCAAATGACTATGTGACACAATTGCCAATTACTCCTTCATATCCTCAGCCCCATCTATTTGGTACAATCAGTAATAACTGATAAAGGACAGCTTTATCATCATATGTTATTTTTGCTTTTTATAGTACTTTCATTTACAGTTGCAAAAATTTATTTGCAAGATATTCTTTTCATTTCCTGAAACTCATAAGTAATAAGTAAGTATTGTAATAAAGATGAGAAACCTTTATTTAAATAAACATCAATATTACTGACAACAGTCAATTTTTTAAAATTATTTAAGCTTCCAAATAAATAAACGGATAAATAATCAATGAAAATACAGATAAATAGAAAGAGTTCAATAATTAATTTACAACTTTCAATTATTTTAAAGAATTATTTTAAGAAATATTTACTGAAATACAAAAATAAATGATGAATAAGATAAAAAAGAAATAATTCTCATTTTTAAAATGTCTTTTTCAGCTTTAAAAATTAATAATTGGCCGAGTTATTGATACTGCTTTTACATATATTCAACATGTTTTTTCTTGGCATTTGGCATTCTTTATGGTCTATGCTAAATATCCTGTTTTTTTTTTTAAAACCAATTTCCATTTTTTTTATTATGCACCTTGTGTGTATTCCTCTTTACCAAAAGACAGTCTGACTGCCTAGGTCTTTCTAAGTTAAACATCTTCCTCACATAATTTATTTTAACAGGTTTTACATCCACTATTACGACCTTCTGGTCTTTCAGCGGATGAGCCTCTCGTGTAAGTAAATTAGTGACAGATATAAAGAGTGTTTGTTTTTGAAGTGATGGCCCCTAATTTTAACGACAAGGAAATGATTATTTTCAAGGAGTATAGGGTGATTGCTTGAGGGTGCAGACAGACAACCACCTGGGCACCCATGGCCCCTTAATTACAAGCAACACCAGTCTACTGCCTGAGGCGATAGCAGGTTGTGAGAATAATTACACCCCTTTGTAAACATGATGAAATCAATGCCACAGTGGCTGGGTGGGCGAGAGATTGACATGCCCACCATTGGTAGCTTTAGTCATCAGGGAAGGAATAGTGTATTTGGGCAATTTTTGGAAGATGATAAAGTTTTCCATCATGGCAGTCAATTTAAAAAAAAAAAACTTTGTGTAAATGACCCTCCGTTGGAGTTTTGCTGAGATACTGACATGCAAGTAAATAGTGTGAAATCAATGTTGGAATGATACACTTCATCCATGCTTTCATATGGGGAACCAGGCTACTATTAAAACATAGACTTCGGACGACTGATGTGTATGTGTGTTTTCAATATGTAATTTACTTCCTCCAGATGAATGATACGTCGCAAAAACCTTTATGGTGTATCAAAACAATACCTATTACGTTCAAAAGAGAACAAACAGAGAGTGTTGTATAAACAAAAAGAAAGGCATCTTGAGTGGTTAACAATGTATTTTATGGTGCAAGAGTAGTGTAAGATATGTTGAATAACTATCGTCCTACGCCATAAGGTACATCATGTCGAGTTTACAAGGGTCAAGGTCGTCTGTACTATGTACACAAGCCGGTTACACACACGTGTTAGAAAACTATGCAGAGAAATGTGGCGCAGAAATGCGTCGAGAAAAGAGAACGAAACATGCTATTTTGTGGCATCGGGCATTGCAGCAGATTACCTGCCCCTCCTGCTTCATCATTCAGTGCTTTTTTCAGTCGTTTTACAAGAACAGCTTTTGTCCCTTTCGTGTCCAGTCCCCGGTTCTTCAATTCTTCTCGTAGCTCTGCAACTTTTAATTTGTTCGGATCCAGATCACTCATGTTTGCAGTTCACCTTTGATGTCAAATTATCGGTATACTATGATACAGCACATCAATAACGTGATTAGGGTGGAATGTGCGCTTTCAACTGAGCAGCTTCTTTTCCCACCAGCGGATCGTAAACAAGATGGCGACAAAGGACGCACATGGAAGTTGTGCTATTTTACAAATCGCAGTGTAAAAAGAAACGAAACGCAATTGTTTACGTGTTCCGTGTCCAAAGTGGGAAAAGTCACTATTTATGGATATAAATGAAGTAATTTAAATTTCCGTGATTCAATTCATGCATTTCATGAATACGTATTTGTGGAGAAATTATTCCATGGATATGAACACGTAATTCTCCATAAACAATGACTTTGGTGCTTGTCATGATACATGTACATATCCCTGCTTCAGTGTGTCAGAGTCCTAAAAACGTGTTACAAACATTTTCTTTAGGTTGGTAATGTAAATAGAATAAAAGTTCCTATAACACAACCAGCGGAAGATTTGAATGTGACTCTTCGATGACCACACGGTCACATTCATCAGAAAACGACCACGATTTGGAGCGTACTAGCACAGACATACGTAGTGTGCAAGATGGTAAGAAATCGACCAGCTTTTTCGACAGTATTTTATTTAATCCTATATACAGAACGAGCAAGATATGTTTATGAAACACTATGCCCATTATTGCAACAAAATTCTCATGTGAGACAAATATGAAAGCCCTACCTCTTCCGGTGCAATAGTTATGGTCAATGTTAAATTTTTCAAATGTAAATTAAAGGTTACGGTCAAATTCACTTGGCCAAACAATTTGGTACCACCGGAATGGTCTTATCACAGAGAAAGCACATGCCAAATATGAAAGCCCTACCCCTTACAGTGCAAGAGTTATGGGCAAGGTTTAAGTTGACAACAGGCAAACAGACAGACAAATGAACACACAAAACAGGTTCGATCCGAGGGCATAACAATTGCACAATATGGTTACAATGTACTCAAGTCAATCCGGCCATGCTTTGTTAGTAACACTTGGCCATTGATGTGTCAGAGTCTGTGCCCCTCGTCCCTGTTTAGTTACATTGAGATTAGAGGGCTTCCTAAGTGATCTACTGAGATAATTGATATAAGCGTTTTTGCCTGTGTAATGGTGTTTACGTATTTATTACGAAGTTTTCAGTGAGAATCAGTAAATATACGTTTGGCTTGTTAATGTGCACGTTTTCGTTTGAATTTTTCTCGTTTGACATCCAACGTTAGCTCTTACTTTTAGCAACATCAAAGTATCAACAGAAGTTTTAACAAAATCATTTATATTGTCAACGTCTATCAATTCAATCCTGAAGGGACAGTGTTGGAATGATCAAAAGTTGATTGAGCAAACAAAAAAGTTTTTAAATAGACAAGCTTTTAGAAAATCACATGAAATAACAATGTCATGATGCTTAAGTGGTGTTATTGGGGACTTCCTAACATTTGGTAATTAAGAGTAAACTGTTTTCCACCACTTCTTCACATCGAGATTAACGGGATTTCCTAAGTGATGTACAGATATTATTAATATACACGATTTTAACTGTATAATGATGTTAACCACCAATAAATGTACGTTTGGTTCGGTTATGTGGTGATGTTTTCGTTTCCGAATTAACCTTTCTATTTCATTTGGCATCCAAGAGGTTAGTTAGCTCATATGATTATAATTTGTTTGGAATGCTAGCATTTAGCAATATCAAGCGAAGTATCAGTATTATTTTAACAGAATCATCGATATTATGAACGTCAATCAATTCATTTCAGTTGATATAATTCGATTTCTTTCTAAATAAACTATGATTGTCTTTATCAAAGAGCCCAAACGTTACACTTGAAATCATTCTGCACCGACTCAATAATGTTAAATAAACAGTAAGAAGGAGAGTGCTATCTAACAGGTTGATCAAGAAAGCTTTCTTCAACAGTACATTTACTAATGAGAGGAAAAACGTTAACACATACTATATTTAACAGTGAAGTTAAAGAATTTAAGTATATTTCGCAAGTGGGACGACTGGTTTTCAAATGGTAAGTTAGCAATAAAGTCACATATCAGTACAATAAACATCAAGAAAACACCAATATGGTAATATAATCATAATCCCAACTCAGATGTCATAAAACTGTAGCAAATTACGAACCAAAAGAAAGATTTACACGGAGACTCCTGAAAAAGTACAAGGAGAATGTGACCAGGTGTTCATCAACGACACCCGCCCTGTAAACCTTGGTCAATCCAAGTCAGTAATGTCACTTCAAATAAGAATAAGGTATACGCCAATGTTACCAACAGGAAAACTAACAAGCATCAAACACGTCCAGCTTCACGTGACAGAAAGAAATAGAATCTTTCTTAATGAGATCACTATGGCGACCATAAAACTTCTCCATCATTTTCATTTCATCAGCCTCCATCTTTTGAACCCCTGTGTTACGAGTTTGTCCGTCAGTTACTTCTTGCACGAAAATCGTATTAATGAATATCGAATCAACTGTTACATGTAAACACATTGCTATCCAGAAACGGAAAATTCATGGTAAGGAAATTAAAATCATCACGTTTTTCATATAGCTTGGTGCAAAGCTGTTCATGTTTGTTTGGAGATCTAGATAAACAGCTAATGTAGAAGAGTCTGTCGTGTCTCTGATATTAAATTCTGGCGGATATATACGATGGACATGGTCAGTGAAGACACCTTTTGATAATAGATAATAAACCTCGTATAAAAACAAAAACAAGTCAGCTAACGTGAGGGGGTGGGGGGGACTTATTGGCTGAGATAAGTGTAGAGTTTTTTGTTTAAGACCTGGAACATTAAGATGAACCAACGAGTAGCTACTGTCAGAACGGAAACGGTCGCTGACATTTGAGAACACCGACGAGTTGTAAGAACGTAGAGATGAGGGACATGGGTTGGATTCAATGTCACTAGATCATTTAAATTGCCACTGAATCAGAGTAAAGACATATAGGAAAAACCCTAAAAAAGCAAACTTTTACTAAACAGAATACGATATGATGTCTTCTGTTTAAATTATGTAGAAAGAGATACGATACAATAGTAGACCAACGTGGGAAAAAAACCATATACAATGTCAAGGACGGTCAAAAAGGTCAAAATGTTTAAAGTCTGTACACAATTGTTAAAGGCACAAATTCGCGCAAAACTGACAGACATTAGGTAATGCCAAAGCAGAAATACATAAATAATAACAAGTATGAATTGGTAGCTAAACATGGGATGTAAACGATGGCCTAATAGGCAACAGAGTAAAGGGTTGGTAAATTAGAAGGGCCGTAGAATAAAGAAATACATGTACATGAAATAATAAGGCATATGTGACAGGTACATATATATTCATTATCTGTAGTGGAACGGGGAAAACATCTGTTTCCATTTTTAGTGTATCCACGTGTTGTGCCACGATGGTACTGTGTGCACGTCCTGAGTACGTCCCGTGTACGTCCTGTCTTGTCCATATTTACAACCGCGCATTTGTCGCAGTCGGCCGTGGACCAGGGTGGGGACGTATCCTCGGGAGTTCGCTTGGTACCATATTGAAATGAAAACTGGACTTTGATACATTTGACCAGACATTGTACAGGTCTTGGAAGGGGTTTCTTCCATGTGCGTCCGCCGATTATAAATAAATAAATACAAGGAGGAGGACGACTGGTTGGTTTTCCTTTTTCCTGTGACATCTGTGTTGCACATCGAAGACAATACCGTTTCGAGAGTCTAAGAGGGCTTTTGAATGATCAGGCGTAAGATATACAGATATAGCTGACATAAAGAAAAGTACATTCATTAGTTGCTTTACATTACTCAAATAGTAAAATTGTGTATAGTTCGTTCACTGACTTCAACGTAAGGCGTCTGATACATGTGGCGAGGGGATTGTGGAGAAAACTGTTAAAATGGTGTACGACAATAACACGTCTGATTTCATGTGCAATGCAAAAGTGAAACAAGTGTTTGTGTGTGTATGTCTGAGGGTATGTGTGATAGGGTGGATAGGGGGAGGGGTGTCACCAATTTTGTATTCCTTCTTTCAATTTTGTTTTTCAATTTTCCGTCTTTTTTTAACGATTTAGATCATTTGCATAGCCAACGCATTGCGTTGTTTAAGTTGTTTTATCAAATTGTCACGAAGGAAAGGGATGTTCATAAATCCAGACAACCCACCACAGGATAGAATGAATTATCTCCCTTGCATTATTTTCTCTGTTCAGAAAATGATGAGCATTGATAACTATAAGACCCGTTTAACTAATTCCGACCAAAATCCTTCTTTGACTTAGTAACGAAATCTCGTTATAAAACCTAGAGAAGGATACCTCAATTTGATGACGAGGAGTAAATAAAAGTGAGAAAAAGATAATGTGTTTTGACGACTTTTTATTTTAAACATAGCGTTTATTCTCAGTACATTCTTATTTTGAAAAAAACAGCCTTCATACAAAAATAGTTATGTATAATAAACACATTTTTTAAACAAGAGTGTTGGACATTATTCTCCAAAAGGTGCACGTTATAATATTATGTTAGAATCTTGTTTAAAGTCGAAAGTGCTGGCATTTATATTCCCCCCTCGGGCATTGACATGATGTTGCCTTAACTGCACCATTGTCTTCATCATCAAGGAAGATCTACAAGGGAAAATATTGAACTAATCATAAAAAATTACAACTGGTTATACAGTTTTTATTAAAAGTGCTGTGTGTGTATATATATATATATATATATATATATATATATATATATATATATATAAAAAATGCTGGTGATGAAAACACACTGACCATTTACTAATGAACCGATATAAACATGTTTTTGTACATGTAGTACTGACCAGCAAGATTAATAACCTGATAACATGTATCGGTGAATATATTCCTGCACAGAGTTCCAGAAGGCGATAAAGAAATCACATCTGCCAGCCTGAATTCTTAGTCAGATGTTAAAGTTACATAAAACACCAATACTTATCGGATAGATATCTATATAGTTTTTTGCGAACTCTAAACTAAACAGCGTAAATCGTGAATTTGAGAAAATATTACCAACTCACCTGAACACTGCATGAGGTGCCTTTT